GCCCTCCTCACATCTCCCTCCATCGCACCTCCTCGCTCTCACACTCCTTTTCTCTCCCCCCCCTCCATCGACGGACCCAGCTGCTTCTCACACCTCCATCTCACAAGACAGACGAAGATAGACAGAAACTGAGATAGATGGAGAAAAAAAAAAAAAAGAAAGAAAGAGGGGATAAAAAAGAAAAAGGGCCGGCTACACAAACGAGGGAAACAATCCAGGAGGGGAGGTGAAACAAAAGCCGGCAGGAGGGGATCAGAGAAAGTGAGAGAGCGAGTGAGATGTGGATAATATCCGAGAGAAGGTTCGGGCCTTATTTCGCCTCCTCCGTCGTTCCCTCACTCCAGGAGTGCTAAGCTTTTGTTTCCCTCCTCGTTGCCATGGTAACTGTTGGCAATTTCACATCGGAGCCACATGCCCTGCTGACCGACAGCGAGCTACAACCCGAGGCGCTCGCCTACACACACACACGTGCACGCACGCACACATGCACAACCACATGCGCCGCCACATGCACGCACACAAAAGCCAGATTGGCCTGTTGACCAGCTGCTCGTTGCAGAAATGCCTTGAAGCTGCTGCAGCCTACACACACACACACGCACACACACACACACACACACACCACAACTTCATCACCGTGTTCATCTTTGACTTAGCGCGCAGCACGAAAATACATCACACGTTGGCATCATGCATTGTTTACAGACTGAGCTCGGTGTACCTGCTGGCTGATGCAGGGCCGCTGAGAGGCATAAAATCTACAGGTTTTAAATCACAGTCGCAGTCATTCTTTGACGATGATACGATCAAAGCAGACAACTCAACACACTGTCAACCAATCAAGGTATAGCGCTAAAGAAAATTTGAATTAGCAAATATTTATCCTTCTTTCAAATAGAACCAACAGGTTAAAGGTCTTGTGCTTAACCAAGACCACAAGGAACATCAGCTTTTTGAACTATTTATTGAGCCACATGTAATATTCTACCGTGGATAAAGTAACAACACCTTTGGCCTCAGAAATTTTTAACAACTCTTGTGTTCAAAATTTCCTTAATTTTCTAGATTCATCACTACGAAATAAAAACTGTAATTAAATTGGACTGTTGGAAAGAGGCTCAGAACATGCAGCAACTTATCAGTATACTCTTCATCATCATCTATTTTACTCTAAATGGGACCCTAATTTACTGAATTACCACCATTCTGTATTAAATGAGACTTAAAACTAGCGATTGAGACCATAAACTTACTTGGAAAGTGTTTACTGAAGTAACAAATCAGGTGAAAAATCTCATTTTCTCATAGATTTCTATACAATTGGACTTCTTTTTGCAGCCCGAGGAGTCGCCCCCTGCTGGCTGTTCAAAAAGTAAATCAATTCTACGTTAGCTTTGCTTTTTGACCCAGAAGCTATGTCCATCTTCTACACACAGTCTGTGTTTGAAGCAGGGGAGCGTTCTTAATACAATCGCCTCGTAGTGATTCACTACAAATCCTGGTTTTGATCGCCTGCTTTTCCTCTGCAGGATCCAAAGGGTTAAAGCTAAAAAGGTTGTTAGTCTATGACAGGGCTAAAGCAGCAGTCACACAACACACAAGTCACACAAGTGACATCAGCTTGAAAACGTGAGGCCTGAAGCTTGGTGATGCTGTGATTACTCTCAGGGCTTGTTGGTGAACTGCTGCGGCTAACGGTTAACGTCAGTCCACTCCCGTATTAATCAGCCACAGCAGATCCTGCAGGTCCTTTCTATTTTCTCTCCAGTGTTCTGTTGCTTCCTCCAGGCACTTTGTTCACCATTGCAAACCATTTTGATCAGCATGTGGGAGAATAAAGCTTTCTGAGCAAATGAGCTAATCGCTAATGGAGCAACAACTTTGCACATTGTATGTAAAAGACAGATTTGTAGCATCAGGTCCTGTTTCATAATCTGGTGAAGAACTAATAGCAGCAAATAAGCGTCCATTATTTAGGACATTTCTGCTCTCCGTCCCCTCAAAGGTCAACTCTGTCAAGACCAAAGTTAGTTGAACTCCACCTCTAACAACTGTGTGGATTCATTTTGCCTCTTTGAGCAGCGTTTCCATTTAAATTAATTGATTCCGCTGCAAACTTTAAATCCTGTTGTGACGGCCACAGGCATTGTCAGTGTGTTTTCCTGCCTCTGCTTTCCTTTTCCCAGTCTGGATGACCTGCCCCTCCCACTTCATTAAAGGATTGGTTTCACCTGCTTGGTGCCTTTAAAAGCTGGGTGAATCCAAGATGGCTTTCTCTCTTTTCTCCCTCCTGGAAGGCTGGAGCCTTTCAGATCTCTCCTGGTTTGGTTTGGTTTGATTGTGTTGAGTTTAGCCTGGGTTTGTAGACCTTATCATTAGTTTTCCTTTGTTGAATGTTTTCAACAAATTACTCATTTATTTTAAAAGCTGTTCTCGTGTCAACCTCCCTTCTTTGTTATGCTCTTCAGCGAGCTGGGCATAACACTGTATAATCAGGTCTTTCCAAGCAAGAATGTCCCAGTTAACAGCTTTGAACCACAGCACAAACCAGTGAGAACCTTCTTCTGCTACTGTGGGTGTTTTCTTCATTTCTGAGGAAATCCATCACAAATAAAGTCTGTCCATTAATCCTAAAGTCTCCACACACCCATACAGATGTGATCACCTCTGTTCTGGTTTAAGGTGACTAAATTATTTAATTACTAAGCAGTAAGAATGATAAAACGTGTAATTTATTCTATCATGGAGCAACAGATGCAACAAAGCTAAGCCCTGCCTGCTCATTCCCACACAGTGCAACCAGGACGACCAATCAGAGTAGACAATTCAAATCACCTGCGTGCCTTTACCAGAGCTCTGTTCTTTTATTTCACCAGATTGCTGCAATTTCCATTTTCTGACTCCAAATCATAATTACAACCGGGGATCTCGACAGCACCTTAATACCAAGTAAGCATGAGGCCATCAGCCAAAGTCCATCATTTGAAGGCAATTAAACCCAACTCTGCTGTCAGTGTGTGAAGCATTTTAATCCCTGACAAGACTAATGAGTATTATTGTGAAGCACACAACTTGTAAACACTGGAATCATCCATCAGTGTGCTGAACGCAGCAAACACTCACATTATCTTTTACATTTTGGGAGCAAAATGTTTATCATGTGTTTCTTAACGAACCTCAGTTTCTTTCCATCCCACGCAGCCCAAATGCAAATACAAACATCAGGTCTAATGGAAGATGTGGCTTTACCTCAGTTTAGCTGTGCAACATAAAGACACATTTTGTGTTTGATAGTACACACTAGGGACTGTACATTAAACCTCTTTATATGTCCTATCCTCTTACTAATACCAGCTTCTTCAGGGTTTCCACTTTCATCTGCTTTGCCAAACATGTCTGCTTCATATATTTCATACATTTTACGTCCCAACTTTCCGCTTTGCATCTTCACAACTGATATTTTAACCCTCTAAAATGAAGAGAATTGTCAGATTTGCAATTTTCTGATCACCCTTTAACTAATCTGGTCGAACATTTAGTTCAACCAGCTTAAAATCGCAGCATTTTCTAAAAATCACGTTATTCTACATGTCTAGTTTAAAAAATCGCCTGTTTGCACCAGATTCTGTGCAAAAAAACCCCAAACAATTCTGCACTACTTGGCACAACCATGACTGTCTCAGCTGTGACCGACAGTCAGCTGAGAAAATTTTGGGCTATTTGGTCAAACGGCAGGCAGTGTTTATGCAGAGATAAGTATATAACATAAAACGTACCAGATCAAGAAAATAAATGCAGAAAAACAGTAGACAGAGCAGCATGTTGTTGGATGATTCATTCAGCACGGTGAAACCTTCACAGAGTTGATGTGAGATGAGTTTGTAGAGGTTCAATCCATCCATCCATTATCTATACACCGCTTAATCCTCACTAGGGTCGTGGAGGGGCTGGAGCCTATCTCAGCCGACTTAGGGTGAAGGCAGGGGACACCCTGGACAGGTCACCAGTCTATCACAGGGCTACACTTAGAGACAGACAACCAAGCACACTCACATTCACACCTACAGACAATTTAGAATCACCAATTAACCTCAACGTGTTTTTGGACTGTGTGGGAGGAAGCCAGAGAACCCAGAGAGAACCCACGCTGCACGGAGAGAACATGCAAACTCCAGGCAGAAAGATCCCAGTGCCCCCACCGGGACGTGAACCAGTGACCTTCTTGCTGCGAGGCAACAGTGCTACCAACTGTGCCACCCTGCAGCCCATTGATGGTATATAACTGCATTTTTTTACAGCAAGAAAGACATTTCTGAGTTCTCTTTACTTCTAGTCATGGTTGTGTTGTTTCCATAGAGGTGCCGGACTTGATATTGTGGTACAACACAAGCCCACAGTGAGTAAAACTGTAACGGTAACAAAAAATGTCGGGTTCAGCGAGTTAATGGAACCATTAGAAACAACAGGTCCAATTGTGGAAACCAGTGACTCTGCTCGAGGCTTTAACCAGGTCTACAGTTTTCATAACACCAGAATAATGCTCAGGAATCTTTCTGTTGGGCTCAGCATGCCGTGGCCGATGCCAGATGGTCAAGACGTCATGAGTTTGGATCTGGCTCGCAACCTATAGGCCGCTGCCTGCAGAACAAAGCAGACTCCAAACAACAAAGTCCTCTGGTGTTTGTGCTGTGCTGAGAGAGCCAGCGTGGTGGAGGCGACCTTGAAAGCACTTCTAACACTTATTCAAATCTTCCATCCTCCCTTCAATCTTCTTTTTATTTCCCTTTTATCCTCGTCCCTCCACCTCCCCGTAGCTGAAACACACAAATGGGTTTGACTACTTATGATCCTAACACATCAACTCTCAGTGCAGCTTCTCCTCCACAATCTGCCATTTCACTCTTCACTGATTCTCCTCCATCTTCCACCTGTTTTACTGAAAACACAACACGCCTCGTCCACCTCACGTCAGTGTCTCCCCCCCCCCACCCACACCGTACCTCCACCCAGTTTCCATCCACTTCATGGAAGAGGACGCAGAACGGATCCGACTTGGACGCTACGTCTCGGTCCAGCAGGCTGGTGGCGGTGACGGACAGCTCCACCCGAGTGACGCAGTGCTGAGGTCCGACACTGCGGGTCTGACCATCCGGAGCCGAGCCTAAAGTGTAGGCCATGTTCTGAGGTCACAGCTGATCAGCCTGAGGGGAAGGAAGCAGGGAGGAGTAAGTGGAATGGACTTGGGTTCAGTGCACAATCACATGCCGCCACACAGCAACCGCTTAGTTAGATTGTTTGAACAACAGGACTTCTAGTGAAAACATCAAAAGAAATCTTTGTTAGATATTGAAGAACTGGCCAAGCTAAACCGATCAACACAAGACTGAAGATGTGCTTTGAGCTTGATGCTAACATCCACATACTATGCAGGCTATAATGTTCATCTTAGCTCAATGCATCAGCTAATATTTGCTGATTTAAACTCAGCAAAAAGTACAGCTACGACTTAGTTTTGCAGGTACTTCAAATGAATCATGCGACCTATAGATGCCACCGGATTGATGTTAGAAGACAGATTCTAGTTGTTTCACTCAGAACTAAAAACGTCAACCTGATAACGGTACAAGAGGAACAACAACTAGAGCCAGTAAGTGTTTCTACAAAAATGTGTTCCACTATTTTAGTGCACAGAGGAGCTGAAACAATTAGCTAATTAGTTGATCAAGAGAAAAATCATCTCAAACTATTTTTTTTTAACAACTGATTGTTTCAAACGAGTGAAAAAATGGCAAACTCTGTTCGCTTCAAGCTCCTTAAATGAGAGGATTTACTGTTTTTCTTTGTCATAGGGTTAAAGTCTGGACTGTTAATTGGACGTGACATCTTTTGGAACAATGGTTGCTTGACCATTTTTAATTTGCCTTAAATTGTTTATTTATTATTTATTTTTAAAAATTATCTTGATATATCAAATGCTTTTCAACAAGTTTTTTTTTTATTTTTTTTTAAATGTCCATCATCGATGAATTCTTCTGATTATTTTCTTGATTGTTTTATGGACAAAGTGTAAGAAAACAGGAAGAAATACCATTTTTAGTATCTACAGACCACATATGATGCCTTTAAATATCGTCTTTCATTCAACCAACACTCAGAAACCTCAACATTTACCATCAAGAACAACAAAGACATGCATCAAATTCAGCAAATACTTTTAATTATAGATAGTCACTAATTAACTAACTAATATATTGATAGATGACACAAAACTAATATTAACTAACAAATACAATGGGGAAAATTGATTTAATTTGTGGCATAATTCAGTCCAATATTCAGTATGTAACAGATTTAAAGCATGTGATGAAACTCTCAGTCTGGCACGCTGCATGTTTCTAAATTGCAGCCGTTGCAATTTGCTAATTGCATCGTTGCAAATCGTGATTCTGAGCCTGAATGCAGAAACATGATAACACAGCTTATCGTCTATAATTAGGCTTAAAATGTCAACGATAAATGTTGTGTTTGTATCTTCAAACTCTGATGAAAAATGTCACAATAAACTGCACCAAAATATCAACACTTTGTGCAACCTGAGGGCAACTTCAGCCTGAAAATATCTTCCAACGTTCTGACTGGTTACTATAACGTTAAATAAACCGTGAAATGAACTACAGGTGGTTGTTGGAGGCCCACTGATGGCTGGAGTCCAGAAAAGCACGCAGCTTCTCGTTAGAGGTCTTACGTAACTCCAACACTCTCCAGGAGTCGGTGTGTGTGTGTGTGTGTGTGTGTGTGTGTGTGTGTGTGTTGTGTTGGTCTTCCACTGCCAGCTGACAAAATCATAAATTACTGGAGAGAAAATAAAGATGCATCTTGTTGCCAGGCAGAGATTTCCACACAGAAATCACTAAATAAAGCTATGAGGGAGTTGATTAAACTGAAGTGACATTTGAATGTTTCTTTTTAAGTTAAAAGGAAAGAGGGGGAAAAGTACAGAATTAATCAATAAACCTCCATTACAGAATGTCACCTGTGGTTTTAGAGCCCTTTTGGGACTTTGGCTTAATCAGACTAACAATCCTGTTTGGCTAAAAATATCCACACAAATGGAAATAAAAATAAATGCTGGCTGGCCTGTGGTTTGGGTCATAGCTCTGGAAACCTCTATGACACCCAGTGTTACACATTACAAAGACCCTGATCAAAGCCACTGTGGAGGCTCCGACACGAAGGAGGAAACACACAAATATGTCCTGAAGCATCTCTTTAGAGGAGTAAAAACACTGTTAATGATAATTTATTTGAAATAATTCCCCACAAACAAACACGCACAGCAGCCAGCGTCCATAAATGTGGTTTTGTTCTCACGGCGGCGTGCTAAAAGGATGCTGTCTGTTGCTAAGAGACTAATGTGTCATAACCAGCGTGCTCCTCCTCGTTCAGCCGCCGTGATGTCACTCTGCTAGTGGTGATGCACTGAAAATAACCATTTCCATTCACTGACTTCATCATTCAGAGGTGGCCACAAAAAAAAAAAAAAGCTTGCTGTGACTGGCTGGAGGTACTTTTACTCACTCATTCATCCGTTCACTTATTGTCATTCACTCTGCTGAATACATTAAGTCCTGAACAGACAGAGGGATAAACCCCAGCTTTCTGCAGACACCTGCTGCATCCGTTGCAAGCTCTGACTGATAAACATGATAAAGAATCCCACAGAAAAAAATTTAAAAAAAGGCAGTGCAGAGTACTGAAAAATAACAATAGCATGAAAAATGATTTAATAAATAATGTTGGGATGCACTGATGGAGCTGTTTTCTGACAGAGATTGGCATGTTTTTGTGTTTTTGTGTGTGTGATTGCAGGCAGAAAAAAAACAAAACAACCTAGAGCTGCTTTTAAGACCACATTGCATCGCTTTAGGCTCCACACAGCACTTTGTGTCTGAGTGCATCATGGAAAAAGCTTGCAATTTATATAAAAAAAAACACAGGTGTGTGTTTGTACTGACCCTGCTGAAGACCCCAGTCACACCGCACATCCACACCTTTCTGCAGCAGGAGGAGGGAGCAGCACAACCTGACACACAGGTGGAATAAAAACAGCACTGATGGGTCATTAAGTCTAATTACGCCTCACATGTTGGTGCACAGCAATGATGGAAACAGTAATCAACTTAAACTTGAAATATATGCAAACTCTGCTTTCTGCACAAACGCACCTCTGCATGCATTCATAATCAGCACGCACGTTTTTGGTTTTTGTTGCCTCTACATTGTCTTTTTTTTTCTTGCAGCAGACAAATGTTCCACAAAACGTGCACCCAACAAAGAACAAAATGTGACTCACCTCAGTAAATGATGACCAACTTCTCAGCCGCTTCTCACTTGATAAATTCTTTAATTACTGCGCACAGTGGAGAGAATTTGTTCTGATTTTTTTTCCTTTAAAAAGCCACTTTTCCCTCCTACAAAGCAATGAAAAGTGGCATTTTTGTGTTTGAACCCGAGTATCCTGGAAGGAGGCGCAACAGTGTGTGGAGGTAAATCATCCTCGCAGCCCGGACTGAGCTCTCTGCGCCCACCGCCACTGACGGGAGCGAGCGACGTCAAGCTGGCAGCGTTAAGATGACACCGGAAACAAGCCGCGTGTGCTGTCAAAATAAAGGCGCTACTGTCAAGAAGAAGAAAAAAACACTTCCGTCTGTGGCGTTTTATTGTTATAATTATTACTTTATTGTATTGTATGTGTGACTAAGTACTAGGTGCTGTTTTTGCAACACTGGCAGCACAGATATGTCTATAGTTGTGTCACATACAGATGCTTTAGGATTATTATACTATTTAAAGGAACACCTAGAGTGAAAATCAAGTTATTTATTTGTGTTCACCTTGTTTTATAAAGTGGAGGCCATATCCATCTTTATTTACGTTTCTTAGTTTAATATTTGTTGACTGTTTAAACGTCTGCACGTAAACTTTAGCACTTCAATGCAATAATTATTTCAAGGACACTGCTGACAAAGTACATTTAGATCTCTGTCATTTCACAGGAAAATACATTAAATAGTGAATCGATTACTTGTCAACTATTTAACTGTCAACTATTTTGATAATTTATCATTAATTAATCAATTAATTTGACAATTATTTGGTATTTTTATGAGACACCGATCAGCATGTTTCACCATATTCTGACGTTTTATAGATCGATAAACCAAGAAATAGTTAACGGATTATCAACACTTACATTTAGTCTTTGGTTGCAGCACTACAGGGAAATATCGCTCTGTTACATTTCATTGACTACATTCATTTAACAGATTTAGTTGTGTGGTTTGCAGGTTATTTACAGATTAAATGATGATGCAGTTAGGTTAGCAAGCCAATATTATATAAAATATGTAAAATCACAGTAGCATGTAGTTTACATATGAATGCATGAGTGATAATAATCCAGTCATGCAGTAATGAAAGCACAGGGACCATTTTCATGCTGCATACTCTGATAATATTTACATCCTTTAACCAAAGTAAAATGTTAAATGCAGGACTTTTATCTGAAGTATTTTTACAAGATCAGAGTCCTTTCTTCATCACTGAACATTACCTTCTTCAGTCACTGATTGTCCTGGTTGTGGACACAAAGAAAACATATGAACTCTATTGATGGATGTGTGTTGAACAATGAGCTAATTGATCAGCAGATGTTGTGATTGGTCACAGGTATTACTGGTAACATTAATGATGTCTGAAGCAGCTAAACGGATTTTAGTCACTGTTCATTTTATTATTTACAGCTTTGATTTAACAGCTGTAGCATCAAACACCCTCTGTCAGGAGGACTATTAGGTAGGTTGTGTTCTGTTGTAAATATGCAGCCGTGGATCCTTGTAAGGAGTTGAAACTGGAACACATGTGCACCACCGATGTTAAACCACAAGAGGGCGTCGTGTGAACATTATTAAGCCTGTTTTACTGACTGGCTCAGCTGCTGTGTCAGCTGTTGTTGCTGCTGCTGGTTTGAATGAAGCCAGTGAACTATAACATGTGCTTTGTTGACTGTAAAGCTCCTGCACACATACGGTTTTGTGTAGACAGGAGCAATGTAGGCGGAAATATCCACAGAAAACACAAGACAAAACTCCTTTTGTTAAAATTATTGCTTTTATTAAACATTATAAGAAATACAACGTTGTTGTCTTTAGACAGTCAGATAAATGGTTTCTACTGGATGAAGGTCTACGAGTTAAAATGCTGTATTTTTATTAGTTTATTCTAGAGAAAAGGACAAGGGTGAAAGGAAATTTAATTTATTTACCATTCTTTAATAAACAGCAAAACATGTCACAATCAAATTATATATTTTTCAGACCAAGCATGAGCATCTGTTAGTAGAAAAAGAAAACAACTCGTACAAAATTCTTCAAAATCTTCAGCAGATTTTTAGTTTTCCTTCCTACTATGAAAAGCAGCAGACTTTGGCAGTTAGAAGACAAAGTGAACAATAAATATGATGTTTCACACAAGTTTTGGTAGGTTTGTGCTCTGTCAAGTTATCTAAGCGAGACGTGCATCATCTCTTGTTTTTAAGATATTTGGAATAACAGAGAGTTGTATAAGAAGCCAAATAGGTGATAAAGTCTTAATAAAGACGTGAACTCAAGGTAGATTATTTAAATTATCCGTTGACATTTTAATACAAGTCACTGAATGACAATGATACAGGCAATATGACAACAAACCTGAGAAATGCTGTTTTTAACAGAAAAGCTACATAAAAGCGTCTCAGCCTGAGATGGTTTAAATCCACCGTGTAAACATCAAAATACACCCGAAATAACTGCAAACAATAAAAAACAATTCATGAAGGAAAATGAAATAAAATAAGGTGCTCTGGTTTGAGAACATGTCGATACATTTCTAAACTAAAGAAATATCAGTGGCGCGGTGTGTAGCTGTCACAGAGCACCGTCCTCAATGTTCAGTGTCAACTATCATTTTATTATTTAACCTCTGACAACATTTTCATTTAGTTTTAACTACAGTCAAATAAATAATTTAAAAAATATAATTGGTACTTTCTTTCCCGGGTGAACAGCAGAAATAAATACGCAATTTGGATGGAGACCACAACCTAGAATGACCATAAGAGCAGATGAACTCTTCTTTCAGTGTGAGTTTGTGATTTGTTGTGCATGCAGTAATGTGGCCTCTGTTGTAAACACAACACAGTGCAAAGTGACTCATTCTATCAGAGTCTGGTTACTGACAGTCATTATATATACAGACAAAGCAAAAAAATCCACAGTGTGGCCTCTAGTATCACAGCAGTTTGTGTTGGTGGAAAGAGCAGCGACGTCGTGTCTGCAGATTTACAAGAATTAAACAAAGTTACGCAAAAATGTCACTAATTTTATCATTTTAAGCCATGTCCTAGAACAGGGCTCACAATTCTACTTTTGTGATTACGAGTTGCTCTTTATGCTAATTTTAATGATTTGTAAAATACCCAAAGTAAATTAAAACATCTCTCTTTCATCTACAATGTATTCTACAGAGCCCTCCTACATTATTTTGCATTATTTTGCAATACGTTTTGCATTACCACACAATAACTGTCGCGTTCTCTTGTGTTTCCTCTGACTCACACGCGAAGGCAGGGATGTCATCTGTGCACCCTCAGCTGTGTCTGTCAGGCAAAAGTCTGCACCACTGCATTAAGAAAGAAAACTAGAGGAGCCTGTTTGGTCATGGATGTGATTTAGTAGTTCTCAAAAGAAGTCTTTAAAAAAACATCTCACTGTGACCTTCTGAGGGCTCCGATGGTATTTCTGGATTTTTTCCACTTTATCTTATTGATTTGTATTTAATTGTATTCTGCTTTCTTTTTTTTTTTGGCTCATTAAATCAGCAAACCATCAGGACAGATCTTTGTGTATCTTCGTATCCTGTCCAGAAGCTCTCCAGAAATCAAGGAAGGTACTTGTGTGATGCACAAGTTCAAACTGAAGCCTTTAGGTGTAAGCTTCCCAACACACCAGCTTTATGATTTCCACACCCAGCATGGACCATCAGAAAGGTTAGTTAACTTGGCACCAGGTTGAAGGGACAATGACACACTGCTGGCTAATTCCACCAGTTTACTGCTGTGAAACTAGAAGTTAACAAGTGCAAAATCATACATTTAAATAGGCGCAAAAAATGGGTAATATCCCTACAACATTTCATGCTGTAGGAATTTGGAATCTTGTAGGAATTTGGAATCTTGCACGAAAACACTCATGCAGGTGCAGATAAATTAATTCAGTGTGTGTCTAAAGACATTCTGTGCTGCTGCTGTGATTCACCTCTGCGGATGCTGATGAACTGGAATGGTGCTTCTGCTCCATCCAGCAGGACGGATCAACTTATGTGGGGGAGAAATTCAGCCTCCTGTCCGTCTGACTGAGCCTGTGGGCATCACTCTGCGACATGTTGTTCCTCCACAATCTGCAAGCACAAATTTAATATTGTAAATGATGAAATTTCTGAAAAAATATCACGACAGATTAATAAGGTGTCGTCAGCAGAAAGTGCAGGTGGCTGCATGAACCTAATCTTCCTGAGAGAAATCGTACCTGATGAGGTGTAGCGCAGGGCAGGACTGTAAGGCTTTCAGCAGAGCCTCCGCCCCACTAACGCTCACACTGTTGGACTCCAGGCTACAGGAAATAAACACATACTGCTTTATGTCCTGAACCAACAGTTACACATATCATTAAATAAAACCTAAACACAGTCCAAAGAACTCTGACCAACTGGGGTCCACAGAATGTTTTTACTGGATTTCTGGAATTAAAAATTAAGAAAATAGGGCATAAAATCCAATCTAGGGAAAGTGACAGCGAAAAATCAAGTTTAAACACAAAAATGATATAAATGGTAAAACTCTAACACTTGGGCTGTACGTTTTTATCAGACTCACTCTATCCGGTTGAGCTTGTGACAGAAAGGCAAAACTTTGGCCAGCTCCAGTGCCACATCATCACCACAATGATTCCATCCCAGACTAGACAGAAACAGAGAGTTAAAGAGAGAAAACAGGAGAGTTATGCAACATTTCTAAACAAACTATTTCTATTAGCCTTTAGCTCAAGTCTGAAAGTTTTGATGTGTCATGTTCAAAGCAAAACTTCAGGCAGGAATCAGGATATGAGCAGTTAATTGTGATTAAACTACATGCTAAAGCCAAACATGAAGCACACTTCACATCTCAGCTCACCAAACCAGTTAACAGGAGGTGAATGCTCCACATGGATTTAGAAATCCCTAAAGCAATCACATTCAAAGTCAGATTTAAGTTTTAGAAGAACACAACTTGAACTTTAGCTCACAGAAATCATTTAATTAAACCTCAAGCTGAGCAACATGTGAAGCTTTAGAAATATACTGAAGTAATAAATAAAGTAATGATTCTCCACATGTACTGTATTACAGTTTTTTTTTTAAATGTATGGTCTTTTTTTATTCTATTTTTGCAATTTTTTTAATCTTACCCCACATCCTGTATGAGGGGACAGTGGGTCAGACTGGCAGCGACAGCACACAGCTGTGGCGTCCCAACAGAGGTCAAACTGAGAGACCAAACAGGAAGCAGACACAATCAGTGAATCTAGTTATCAAGCAGGGTTGTGACTCTCAAAATAATAGAAGGAAATGCATCTTACTGAATCTTGCTGAGGTTCTTCATGTGTATTATTGCTTCTGACAGACGAACCGAGCCCTCAAATCCAATACGGTTCTCTGAAATACTAGATAAGACACGCAAACAACATAAACCTTTGAGCAACTCTGTCAAAAGCGGTAAATGTGAATAAGAACCTTGAAACATGTGTGAGACTTACTCTAACACACTGAGGTGTGTCAGCGATGGAAGAACAAGAGCCATTTTAGCAGCAGTGAGGTCGCCAAGACTGTTTCTGGACAGACTGAAGGAGGGCAGAAGCAGATGTTTAAACTCTGTACTGACATAAACAAGCACAAGATGATGTTTTTTCATTTGTGTTTTAATTGATTGGTATTTTTAACCAAATACACTAAATCAAATTAACAAACAAATCAACTAAAAATATTAAAAATATATTTTATCTTGCAAAAGACACAATTTTGAGGACTAAAGTTTGCAATGATAAAAGATTCTATTGTTTATTGGGCCAAACTATTTATTTTTTTTTTTAGCCATTTGTGCAAGTAGCACATCTGGGAAAACCTGTGTTTACATTCTGATAAAAATTTAAGTAATCTTGTCTTATTTTATCTTTCAGTGTTGGGTTGATGTTCCAAAAACACATTTACAAGAGTGAATCACATATGAAAATGCCGTTATGTCCTTACTGCAGCTCCTCCAGGTGACTGCAGCTCCTCAGAGCCTCGAGCAGCTTCTCTCCTGATTGGTCACTGACAAGGTTCTCTGAAAGACTGGAGGATAAACAGACACACAAACACAACGAGAAGATGTCAAATGAGCAGTTTTTTATTGAGTTGTGGAGGCACAATGCACAGCTGTGAGCCATAGTGACTTTTTCACTGTACAATTGTCATGAATATTTAAATTCTACAATAACTTGGTCCGTGTGGAATCTGTCTGACTGACATGAATGTGACTTCAACATCAATCACCAACTTAAGCACTGCTGCAGACTGAGCACAACCCCACCCATCAGGGACCAGCATGTCCTGACAGCAGCAGTCTCCCCCAGCAGGTCAAAGCACCACACTACAACATAGTAACTGCCATGGAACACGGCAAACAGTTTACGGTGTTCAGAGCTGTTTTTATGGCACGAGGAGTGACCGCACAACAGTAGGCAGGTGGTTTCAAAGCTGTGGCTCATCGCTGTACTTTCACATGCTAGAGTGACTCAACTCAGATTTTTTACAGAAGTGTGAACGAGCAAAATCTCCACATTTTTTTTATGAGTTCTGGGCAACTTGCATTTATGTGTGACTTGATTCATGTCCGATTTCTGTCAATGCAACTACAGGCATGTGATTTATTCTCCACTTCTCTGTGCATGAGTGTAGTTCCTGTTTGTCATCATTGAGCAATGACACCTAATAATGAACACGACGGAGACAATCAACAGTGACGGGTCAGTGGAGACGAGGAGCTAACAGATTAATTGGACCTAGAGCGGTGTCAGATCCACTGGTGCGTCTGTGTACCTGCCAGCTCCGGTTGTTCAGTTCTGGAAGCTCAACCAGCAGCTGCTCCTGACCAAACAGTTGCACCTGACGTGGCTTTAAAAAGCCCTTCCTCTGACTTTCTCTCTGCTTCTCCGCCAACAGACGCTGCAGGGGCAGAGTCTCCTTACACCTCATTACTTGGGTCTTTTTAATTCATTGTCCTAATTAGTGCAAAACTTGGTTTATCCAATTTAGTTTCCTCCTCTGTGTTGCTACCCTCTGAATCATGGGGTAGCAGCAACGAGGAAGCTTCAGTTTAAGCCCAAGTGTAAGGAATTAATTGTAAGATAATGACATTTCAGTTAAATATGTGCATGCAGCTTAGAACCACAACTGTATTCACACCAGAGCATAAATGTGAACCATCCATATAAAGCTTGGATCTGAGTAAAAATAAATCTGAATTGGGCATTAGGTCCTCTAATGTGAATGTCATGATGATGATTAATCCATGCACACATTGGACACTGACACACTACAGTGAATAAAAACAAGAAAGCATCACAAAACTCCTGAGTCAAGGGACATTTTGTGGCCGTCAATCCCACACTGCAGGAAGGAGGAAGCTGCTGTCTCATGGGAGCAGCTGGTCCCCATAAAGAAGGTGGTGAAGGTCCAATAAAGTGGCTGGTATGCCTTGAATGGCTTTCACCTCACACGAGTATAACCAAAGGCAGCACGGGTCTGTGAGCTTTAGCGACAGTTTAACTGGCCTCTTAAAACTAGCCTTAAAATGTCACATTTAGATTTTATTATTTTGAATCGTAATTGTGATATGAGTTATGATTTTTGGTCCGAACGACAATATTTACATTTCTTCTCTAGGGAAAAAAAAAATCCCTAAAAATAATGATGTGATTTTTGCTGTATATTCCCTTACTTCTCGAGAATATGATTTGTGGGCAGAAATGTCCCAACAGCACCACAGTCATTGAATTATGATGGTATGTTGTGATGTATTTGGCCTGTATCAACAAAATTGCAGCTCCTGCAGTTTGGATATTGCACTCGGCCATATTCTAATTCAGTTAATGTTTCAATTAGTTGTTCAGCCCAACATGATGCCTTGTGTGTAGCAGATTATTGCTTCCTTAATAGTTCACACTGAAGAAAAAAAAAAATGTAACAATAATTGCTCGTGTGATCTAAGAAACTCTTTCAACAGCTGAACCAACTTGTCATTTATTTGCCAGAAATATTTGTTTTTGTTTAATTTTTTTTTTTGTCAAGCACTTTGTAATACTATTTTTGAAGAGTGCCAGAAAATAAAGTTATTTAATTATTATTTCTCTGCAGGATTATGTGACCATGTATGATGTATTTGTATTAAAAAAAGGGAAGGATGTACAAAACCTGGAATAAGCATGCTGGAAATTCATTATTTGGAGGTAAACTTAATACAAACTTCACATCAAAGTTAATTAACCACTAGTCACTTGCCTGATTTTCCTGAGCTCTTTCCAGAGAGGAAGAAGTCTGGTCAGCTGTTCTATTCCGCCATCCGCCATCCTCCAGCCGTCCAGTCTGAGAGAAAACACATGCAACACTGCTGATGGCAACCTCTTTTTAAGTGACAGACTGAAATTAGGTTGATCACATTTGTTCCTGTGCACCATACACTGTGAATGGTGTGAAAAACTCACTCTATCTCCTGTATTTGTGTGAGTCCGTCCATAGCAGCCAGGAGATCCAGCACACTGTTAGCCTCTGATTGTGCTGTGACAATCTTGTTCAGCCTGGCAGACACATACATACACACAATTCACATAAAATCAAGTTTACTGGTCAACCAAGCAATCACAGCTTTTGGGAAATGGTTGTATTGGTATTGAACTCAGACTGGACCTCCAGTAGGTGACTGTTAGAACAAGAAAGATTAGTAATGTTAAATAAATAAATAGACATCCCATGCGATAAGGATAGTATCCATGTTAATATGATATGTATTTCTAAGCTACATAAACAGCACTGACATTCAGCGTCTGTTATGACATTGCACCTCGTTAGTTAGTAACACTTATCAGCTTAGCACTATGAGAGAACAGGGAAAAATAAACGCTCGATTTCCCCCGTGGGGAGGGTAAATCAAGAGATTACACCATACAAATTTATCATGAGGTTCATACGCAGCTGATGACACGCTGGTATGATGAACGGCAGCAACATTGGCTGCAATGTGAGCAGTGGAGCAGCCCCTTTGGCAGCAACAGTAAAAGCATGACATCGTAAATAGACTGGATTACACGAGTACTGCAGGGTATGTGTGAGTAAAGTGTGTCAGTGTGGCTGTAAAATCAAAGACATCTGCCTGGAATAGTTACGGTGGCTTGGCTCCATGTCGCTGTTAAATAAATACTGAATACTATGTCGTGAAGAGCAAACCATATTTTACTTTATTAGCCTTCAAAGTCACTTGAAAAGGTCAGCTTTTGAGTTATGAATACATCTTTAAACAATAATGGCCCAGTAGCGAAGCCCAATAGATTACTGAGACGTTTATATCAATACTTGTCAGTGGGGTTGTTTACATCAAGCTCTAATCAAACTGCTACAACACAGCAGACTGTGTTTCTTACCTGAGAGTGCGTATAAAGGGGGTGTTCCTTAGTGCTTGTGCCAGACACGTGCTGCTCTCCTCATTCAGCTGCACACAGTTCAGACTTGAGGTGCACACACAAATAAATATTAACACACAGGAACAACAGACATTTTTGTATTCGTTCTGATTCATATCTTTGTATGTCTTACCAAAGGTGTTCCAGACTGACACACTGTCTCAGCGTTTCCATGAGCTGCAGCCCTTCAGCCACTAACCACACACAATGGGACAGACTATGACAGAAAAGTTAAACGTCAGTTCGACTGTTTCAACCAAGTTCACGCTCTCTGACATTATATTTTACATAATGGCTGTTTCTCATGTATGAAACTACCTGTAAAAGCAATTCACATGTCAACTACACTCTAACCCAAATGCTTACTTGAGTGATCGTAGACGAGGCAAAAATCTGGTCATATTCTCAGCTGCTGTGCTGGTGATCATGTGACCCGAAAGACTGATAGAGAGAGAGAAAAAAAACGATTTATAAAAGGTTATCTAAACGTCAGCATCAGCTGAAGGGGAAACAGTTTGTTGATCAGATACAAAAGCTTCATCCTTGGCCATACTAAAGGCATAAAACCATTTATCTACTGCAACTGTGTTGACTGCTGAACAAATCTGAGATGAAGGCAACTTTGCAAGTGTCTGAAATCAAGATAGAAAGAGCTGCCTTAGTAATGTTTTTGTTGTGAATGCTCTAATCTACCAGGCTCCACGATGTGCTATCTACAGCGCCCTCCATAATTATTGGCACCCCTGGTTAAGATGTGTTAAAAGCCTTAAAATAAATTCAATTATTATTGCAGAGGCACACTCTCATACTGGAAATTGCCTAAAGATACCTACTTCAAGTGCAGAATGGATGCAGACTGCAGGAAAGCCTGTAAGAACTCCTCAGTCAAAGTGTTAACTCTGTCTTTGGATTCAACACTGCAAAAGACAAAAGAACACGTTGACCATAATACAACAGTAAATCACATCATGATGGTCGCTGTGTCAAATGTGAAAAATCTCTAACCTGAGCGAAGTGAGATTTGGCAACAATGGCAGAGAAGAAGCGAGAAACTCAGCTCCCACTAGACCCAGGTTGTTGTGGGAAACACTGTGAATAAAGGACCCAACATAATAAGTAATCGTGACATTTTTTACAAACATGTTATCTCTGAATAGTGCAGTGTGCATTTTATTTTCATACATCATAATAATAGAGAACACTCACTCCAAATGTGTCAGTAAAGGACATCTCTGGATGATGCTCTCCATCGATGCAAGCTGGTACCCATTAACTGCACAGTCTCGAAGGCTGGATGAGAGAAGAAGAGAGGAACAGAGATTGCCATCATTTTAAAATGTGCAAAATGTAGGATTTGTTTTTCACAAGACTGCAAAAATTATGTTTATTTATGTAAGGTTGCTGAACACTGTCTTTATAACAACCAATCTTTATAACAGCTGCCATGTATTTTATGTCCATAAGGCAAAACTAGCATAAAGTTAGATTTATGCCCCTATTACAGTGAGGCTGTAATAAAGATGCGCATCACTTGCAGGTATCATTTAAAAGTTTTTTAAAAGTACCCTATTTCCTTTACGGCCAATGACTGAGCTGGAACTGCAGCATCACCACTGCAAAAACAAAACAAAAAACAAGACAAAATGATGCATCGTCACATTCTTTGTGTGTGAAGCACAGCTTAGAACATTTAAAAGTTTAATATTGGAAAGAAGAAATTCAGCTATCAGCAGCACTACAGGAGACTACATAGGTGAGTTTTCAATTTTACGCTCATTTTTACTACAGCTTTCTTACACCTACAGTATCATCAATGAACAAATGGCTTTTGCAGCTTTGTATTAATCTATTTAATACTAAATCACTTCAAATTTATTACCTGACTGATGTCAGCTCAGCAGACCTAATCAGAGAAAGGTGTAGCGTGGTTTGGTGAACACTGAAAAAATAAATATGGATGACAGCGTTAAGAACACACATACTTTATATCTTGATTGGGAACATTTTACAGTGACTTTGAATATTTGTAGGGCGTGTGTAGTCTCCTGATGCCTGTTTGCCTGCCTGCATTTGCATAGCTCACCTGATAGTTTGAATGTTGCTATTGAGGTCCAAACAGCGACACAACAAACACGCAGCTGCCTCAGCTCGAATCCAAGATTCCTCAATACTGAGGAGAAAGGCAAAGTGACACACAGCTCAGTATTTCAGCAGTTCAACACAAATTCATGTAACCATGTGGACAGAAACACAAAGGTGTGTTCATACATAATTAACTTGGTGTGACAGAAAGTGGAAATGTTTACTTAGCTACAATAAATCTGCTCCAATTCTTCTCACCTGACAATGCATCCTCTCTCACTGCAGTTCAACAGCTTCACAAAGTCTTCAATCCACTCTGACTCCAGCAAATTGTTTTTGAACCTGAGGACCAAACATAGTAATCATGACTGACTGCTGAATACTGAGGCCCAGCATGGAAAATAAAAACATTGAACAAAATGCTACACAGTAGATGCCACCTCTGATCAACTCCTCAATGGTACCTAAAAACTCAATATTTCAATAACAAATGTTCGTATTTAACAAAGAAGTTCCATTCTTAAAAGAGCTATTATTCAGCAGAAGTTAAACTATGACAAGTGGAATAACAAAGTTTCCCGATAATACCGTGAACAGCATCAACTCTCACACATTATGTCTCTTTTCCTGAAGTCCTCAAAGGTTGAAATAACAGAAAGGCTTTAATATACTTGTCTAAATTGCCTAAGCTGGTGGTATACTTACTCCAGTTTGGTCAAACTGTGACAGTTGGGCACAATCTCTGCTAATCTGACCAGATGGTCACGCTGCAAACTGCTTTCTCTGACACTGGCAGAAAAATGACACAAAAACGAAGATAATAAAACAACTGTATGGATTCCTCTAAAATCTACACTTTATTGATTGTAATGTGCACAAAAACTTCTAGATTGCATTATCAGACTGAGAACAAAGACACCCTTTGCTGTCAGCAAAGAGCAGCAACAATGTGACCTGCTTTGTCATGAAAATCCCCATGTGACAGTAGCATATGCTGGAAGCTCGTGCCTGCACTCTGCCACTTCCTCTCTTTCAATCTGCAGTGTTTGCTTGAAGAAAGGAAGGTACTTTCAGATGAGCTAAAACATGTGGGCCTTGCATGCAAAAGCGAAGTAGTGGGTTAAACTTTTATTCCGACACATGCATAAAGTGTGGCTTCCCTCTCTGCACAATTTGTACTTATTAGCTGTCCTTGCCTGATATTGTAATTTGCATTTGAATTTTTATCTTTTCTCTTTTGATGAGGTTTTTTAGGCTGTCTTGCGTGTACACCACGTTTTGAGATCTCCCCACAGATTCCCATTGATGTTCTAGTGTGGCAATAGTGAAGGTAATCACTAACGCTTCAGCTAGTGTCTCTTAAAGTAGTCCATGGTAGATTTTGAGGTCTCCTTTAAATCATCGACCTGCTGTAGAAGCCCAACTCTTTTTAGTTTCAGTTCCTTGACTGCAGGACATCAACCTTCAGGTTTTGCTGATATTTAGCAGAACCCATTTTTCCTCTATGTCCTTGCTGTGTTTCCCGCCCCACGGCTACCACACCACCCAAGGGCAGGTGGCTCAATAAATGTTACTGCTTTTGTATTTCTCCAAACACATCTGTGTGGACTCCAGTCAAAAACAGGCTTTATCTGTCCACAGAACTTGTTTCCAAACTGGCTTATACACGTCACTTTGCATACACCAACTTTGACTTTTGTGATGAGATAACAGGTTTCCGGCTTGTGAATGGTGCAACACAACTCCTTTCACAGTTCTTGCTTGCAAGCTGGAAACTCATTGAATCTCCTCTTGCACTTCCTCTGCTCTGTGAGCATCGTTAGGTTCATTTTCACATCCTGACTCTTTGAGTAGTGCAGTCTGTCGTTGAGTGTTGGCAAACAGAGAATTTATTAGTTTTCAAATGAGCACTCCTTTGTTAAAAAGGTGATAAGATCAAAACACTTCACATACGACCCTGTGCTCAACACAACAATTTACCACATTTGTGATGTGGTAAATTGTACACTTGATTTGGGCCTCTAGTCATACCTCAGACTCTTTCCACAACCTCCATCTTGTCTGAACCAGATGAGACAGCGCTCCTCTTCTCCCAAACTACAATCAGATATCAGACAGTTCAGTCCATGCAGAAAGAAAAGGAGGGGGATGAATCTTTCATTAATTCTTACAGATTTTTATGCATTCAATAATTAATTTAATTGCTTTGTTTCTTGGTCATTTGTTCACTTATTTCTACAACAGGCAGAATCACCTGACTTCCACAGAAGAGACATCAGTGCAGGTAACCAGTGTGCTGGCTACATCCAACAGCCCCTGCTGGGTCAGTCTATTGTTACTGAGACTGTGGATTAAGAAACATTAGAATCAGAATCCTTGTATTGTCATTATGTATACGTTTCCATACGCACAACGAAACTTCATTTGGAAGTCTCGGCTTTCAGCAAAAGAAAAATGGCATAAATAGACTTCCGATAACCAATTATAAATAGAAAGAAGAAAGTAGAACACAAATAAGAAGGTACAAACAGAAATACTCAAATATAAATATAAACATCCTGAAAAGAAGAAGTGCAACAGTGCAGTATGAGGTAGTGGAAATAAATAGCAGGGAAGTGTTAATTCATATTTAACTAATTTACTTTCACACAAACCTTGCTGTTTCAGGTTGATTTTAAGAAAGTAAGCAGTATTTTTACTGTTCTGTTCTATATAGCAGTTATAACTTGTAATGCAAACTGATAAAAGCAAATACCAATATTTCATTAGGTGTGTCTTACTTGACATAGCTGCTGATTTTAAGGCTTGGTAGAGAATCCACCAAACACTTCAATCCTTCATCTTCCAGTTGGTTACTTGATAAACTGCAGGCAAAACAAATACAACAGTTTAGAAGGACTGGATTATCCATGGGTAGACGGGTGACTGGTTATGTTTCTAAGATTGTGTGTAGGAATGTGTTCGTGTGGCTCGTACTTCAGATCAGACAGTTGGGGCCCCTGCTGCAGAATCTTAAGCAGTCTGTCCAAGTTGTCACCATTCAGGCAAAAATGTGTTAACCTGTGTGCACCAACAGTCGGGGACGGGAAAAGAAACAGCTCATTAGGTTAATGAGCTGCCAGTTGTGGTGTATTCATGTCACTACTCCCACACTTCTTGACTTTGCTCTTGATTCTGTGCTGATTAAGAACCGCAGATCACACAACACAGAGAGGACCTAGGTACCCAAACTGACAAACTGATCAGTCAGAAAAATAAACACCCACAGTGTTTTGTTGTTGTTATATTATATGACTGTGCATTGAAATTTTCAGAACACAGACCTGCAGCTCACTTGTTCTGCTTTCACTCCTCCAAAACAGATGAAGGAATCACTCTGAGACCTGACGAAAACATAATCATGTGTCACATATGCGTTCCTTCATATTTTTTGTGACCATAACTTAAGAGAGTGGCTGAAAACAGACAAAAACAGTTAGTATATAAAAAAACTGCACCTGAGCTCCACGGATGTGACTCGCCGATTGTCATTCAAGCAACTGACTAATATCAGTGCATCAGTTTCGGATGTGATGCTGTGGCTGACACTGAGGAAGAAGGGAGGACAGGGCTGATTCAGGTTTAGGTGATTGAAACACAGCATATATTCATAAATATGTAAAAACAACAACAACAAAACATAAAAACTCGCAATTTTTTCCACTAAACATGATAGCATGCCTCAATGTGGTGAAAGAGGAGTTCAAACTGAACAAACTTTAGGTTTTGCTTCATTCCAGGCCTAAAGTTTTTGTATTTTTTTATTTGTTATTATTAGATACAGTAGTATCATTAGACTGCTGCTACTGGTTTCCACTTAAATGCTAATTACCCATCTGACAAAAGCCAACCAACTCAAAACAATTGCTTGGCTAAATAATCGCTGCAGCACATTTCCATAGGAATGCTATTTTCCATCATGTAATCTCTGAGGTGCTCTATACAACACATCTTCACAGAATTTGCCACTGTGTGCACACATAGATCACAAATATTCACATTGTTGTACTTATATGTACAAAATGAAATTAGCTCAGAATTTGCCCTGATGTATTTATTTTCCCAACGGCGATCAAGTGCTCGTAATACAACTAGAGAAAAATACAGGCACAATATTTCATTCATGAACTTACTTTAGTCTCTGCAGCGACGTCATCTTTGGCAACACTTTCAGCAGATTCCCGAGGGCCCTGTCTGTCAGTGAGCAGTGAGAGAACCTGGCACAACAGATTAGTTAGTTATTAGTTAGTTAGTGCATTAACATCTACCTGCTTAGTCACAGCATTAAATAATGAGAGGATGTGCAACAATCAAGCTTACTCTAACTCCAAATGGGAGGCACACTGGACCAGTCTTGAACACACAGCAGTTACATTAGCAGGTAGGAGGCTGCTGTTCCTTATCCTGCAAAATAAATAAGGACGTTTCTTTTGTACTGAAGTTTTGTTTTGAAGAAAATTGAGAAAACAGTCAGTCTGTTTGTCTGCTTACTGTACCTGAACATCTTCAACTGCTCTTTGTCATCACTAAAAAAAAAAAAAAAAGTGGAACATACAAGCAGTTTATTAGCAGGCTAATCAAAGTGCAGGCAGTGACATTCAGATATATGGATGTTTCAAACAGATGCAGCTTTTTTACCTTTTGTAAGGGCAGAACTTTAGAATCACCTGGTCTTTGCCGCCGTCACTGTAAAACCAACAGGATCCCAACAGATTACCACTCTACATACTTTAGTGCTGATCTGTAGTTAACAGTGTCATTGTGGTTATGAAAAGTTATGTCGCCCTTTATGAACAGATTCAAACTAAAGATTTAACGACATTTGTCAACAGTTGGTGAAACATGCGCTTCCTGCTGTTGCTCTCATAGAATCATTAAATGGCTAAAATGTAAAACAAAGAGTACCTGATGAGAATTTGTGTTAAGCTGTTATGGGAGGATAAAGAATCAGCCAGCATCACCACTCCCTCCATGCTGATGCCATTGTTGCTGGCACTGAAAAACAAACACAAAAACAATGAGCCAGGAGGAAGCCAGTGTTGTGTCTAAATAAGCCATTTCTACTGAATAATGCCTTGGGGTAGATGTAGTGGCTGCCTGCGTGGGCACATGCTGTTTTGAATCTGTTTGGCGAGAAAATAGCAGTCCTGCTTTTGCCAACTCACTTTGTGTATTTACCAACAACACAGTCTCCAACTGAAACACTTACAACTCAATAAAGAAGCATAACATTTTGCTACTAGTAGGAAAATGTATATTTGGTATAACTGTTAAGCATTAATGATAGTGTTTGAGCCAGTGGCGGCTGGTTAATACAGGGCGCAGGGGCGTCACCCCCCCACCACGAATGACAAGATAAAAAGCAGTTCTCAAATGTAAAATTAAATTTGAATTAATTGTAACAAAATAATAATAACATTAATAATAATGTTCATATTCTTTTGCTATATTAACAGTATTTGTATTATTAACAGATTTAATATTAGTCTTTACTGTGTGTTTACTAATTTTACACGTCCTGGATGCGGGGCGCGGCCACATGAGTGTGTATGTCGCTCGAAAAACTTTCGTGATCATGTGACCTCGGCCTGGGCTCTGATTGGGAGCTGCAGACTTTGTCACGGGGCGTAGCTTGGTGCATCCCAGACCCTCCCACTTTTGCTGTAAGCCAATGAATTTTGTCTTTATTTGTTTTTGTCCTTTGTGGTTGGACATCAAAACTGTCCTCTGACATTCTTATGACTGTGCTTTCTGACAACATCACAAGGCCTTTCCCCTCCTCTTCTACTAGATGGCAGCTACTGTCGTGACGGCTTAATGCATTGGCCGTGCTGTCAATGGAGAAAAGACTGCTCATAGAAAAGACCGTGTGTAGAATACATGTAAATGGGTTTAACCAAATCTGACATGAGAACGCCCTAGTTTAATATTTTTAAAGCCATTTTTGGTCACCCACCTGTCTGAGCACACCACAGCCACTAAACAGCAGCTACCGCAGCCTGCTATGTTCAGGGAGCATCAGCAAATTGTAGCGTCTATCGATAAGAAAATGTTCAGCAAGTCATATGTTTTGCCTTTGACCAGGTGGGAGGTGCAAAAAACATGAGGAAGTGGGTCATACTGGTGCCACCAGTGAAAAAGTTAGTCTGGAGCCCTGAATAGTTTTTTTCATGATTTATGTTGTGTGTTTTGAGTTCATACAGATCTTGTACATATTGATGAAAGCTTGATGAATGATTTTTAAATTAAGTTCTGGTAAGTCTCAATAATGTTAAATTAGATTATGATTAGAATATCCTCCAAAGGTAGACAACTTGCATTCCTGTAAATAGTTGTGCCCCCAAACCACCACCACCACCACCACCACCAAAAATTTTCAGCAGCTGCCACTGGTTTGAGCCTTACTTAATTTCCTGGATGTTGCTAAGACGAGGCAGGACATCCAACAGCTTCCTCAGACCTCTGTTTCCTAAACTGTTACTGCACAAACTGAAAACAAAGAATGTGATGTTATCTTCAGAAACACAAAAGAACAGAACAAGCTGGCGAGCAATCTAGTCTGTATACTGACAGTGCTGTGAATCTTCTTCTGCAGCGCTTTCTATATTTACTGTAAACAGCAACCAAGTGTTGGGCTGGTGCATTAGTGTGGGTTCAGTCGCGAGTTTTCTAATCTTCTGATGATGTTATTAATTTGGATGCTACTGCTGACAAGTGCATAAACTGAGCGGTAAGAATGATGTCCCTGTCATCAAATTTTAATAGATATTTGCAAATGTAGAGCATTTCTGAGTTACACTGTTTTTTCTTGTAGCTTGGCAGTTACTTGTTCATTACAATGAACTTAAATCTTTCACAATGTGAGACAATTCCCTTGTATTTAAATTTGCCTTAAATCCTTTCCTTAGTATGCCTAAAAGGGTTGCATAAAAAAAACTATTATCAGACTCTCTGCTACTGAATATACAACTGTATATTTGTAACTGAAAGTGTTGCTGCATTGCTTTATAGTGTACACAGTGTATATATAGTGTGTATAGCTCTATTGTGTTGTATTTCTCAGCTTTTCCTATTTATACTTTATTTGTTCTCTTTTTCTTCCTGTCACTATTTGTGCTCTTTCCTGTATCTAGACTGCTGCAACAAATGAGTTTGCCCATTGGTGGTGAAAAATAAAGTGCAATCTAATCTAAATTAGTAAATGTGCATATTTGCACTTTTGATTGTGTTTGCATGTTCATGTTTTCTGTGAGTCTTACTCCAACACGGTGAGACCAGACGAGGTTCCCAAACTTTTCCACACTCTTTCCAGGTTAGCAGGCAGCAGATTACAGCAGCTGAGACTGACAGAGACAACAGTTTTAGAATTACTATTACAAATATCAAAATTATTCACTTATATGACTGCAGACATTGTCGGGTAGCAAACAAATGTGGAACAACCCTGCCCTTCCTTTCACTAACTGATGTCTCGTTGTTAAACACTTTCTGTTTCTCTTTGCAGTAAATTCTACATTAATATCCTGTTGCAACATGAACTGCACAAAAATACAGTTGCATTATTGTTCTAAGCGTGACACTGTGGCAATGACTAAATACACACCAGAGCGTTTTAGACACTTCATCTGCGGGTTTTTCACTCCTTCCAGCGAAGACTATAGACACCTGAACAGGACTCTGCAGTCTAAAACAAACAAAAAAATACAGTTACATTGCAGTGGTGGCATCACTGTTTAGCATTAAACTAAGCTGTGTGGACCTTGCTTACAAAATATCATGCATTAAAATATTGAAAAAAAAAAGTAAACTAATGATGCCATAACATTAGTAACAGTAATTCTACATTTGGTGGTACAGTATACTTGCAGTTAATCTGTGTACATCTGATTCAATGAGAGGTGCATCACAGGAAAGCAAACTGTCTCGTTTACTGCTGAAATATTATTAGATTACAACATTGTGGTGTGTCTAACAAGGTGCTGGACTTCTTCTTATTGATAGAGTATGTGTCAAAGGGCATGCAACTATGGCACAATGTGTGAATGTGTGCATATATAGTAGCAACGCACATCATATGTGTGTTTGTACCTGATGTGAAGCTCAACCATAGGAGGACAATGAGACAACAGAGAAGTCAGAATCACCAAACTCTCCACTGAGGAGCAGCTGTCATTCAAGCTGAGAAAGGATAAACACAAAAATAGATTGCTGCTGTTTTAGTTTATTGGCTGCTACAAATGTCATCTGCAGATTATATGCAGCATTATGTCAGTATTATAACACTGTGGTGGAGGTTTGTATTAATCCAGACTTACATGATTTTCTCTGTGACGCTGAACTCTGGCACCAACTGAATCAGCGTCTTTAGAGTTTGCTCATCCCATTGGCCTCCAGACAGACTAGGGTGTACAAAACACATACAACTTCATTATATTTGATTAGCACAAATATACTATGTATACTCAGTGACACATGGTGCGGTACTGTTACACAATACCCAATTTGATACACAGACCAGAATATTCACTGTGACTCGTGGTGCAAAATATAGTGCTGACTGTCTGGCGAGTTTATGTTATATTTTTGCCACACAGTTTATAATATATCGTTAGTCAGCTCAAGACAGAAGATAAAACAGAGAATAACAGTCTCTCTGTTACTTTTTACTGCATTAGTGTTTTGGTATGCTGTGTTTTTGCCAGAGGGTTTTCTAAATATAAGGTGGTGTATTTTGAGCTACTTACTCCAGGATGGACAGGGAAGGGCAGCGAGCCAATGTTTGGGCAAGTTTTCGCATCTCAGGCTTGCTCCAATCTTGATTCAACAAGCTGAATAAAATAATACAATAAATATTTGTGTAAAAGACTCAGAATCAGATTAAAATCACATAAATTAAACTGACGTATGACAATAATAAAGCAGTAGGCCTTAATTCACAGGTTCAGAGGCCATTTCTACTCAAGATTATTTGATGCCAGTCAACACCCCTTTAATGTCACCGACGGAGCAAAGTTCATCAAGGAAACTGGCAAACAAATTAAGTTTTTTAAAGAAGTCAACTCATATAAGATAATCATTGTTGTATGTCTTACCTGATTGTTGGTTCAGGTTTGGTTTTATGGCTGCAAAGGGGAATACATACGAATGTTATAATCTTCACTGTGTTCATTTTATTATTTTATTTGCTTTATTCAACAATAAAACTCACTTGGTCATGTCTGTGTTTGGGGAAAAAGTTACTGCCACTTCTTTCATCCCACTGCAAAGACAAAGAGAAACCAATCTGCATTGTAATACAAATGTACAACAATGTTTACCTGGTTGCTTTGTCCTTGATTTACTTTTAATTATTTGCTTTGAGGTTTGGGAGACTCAGAAAATCTTTACAGAAGAAAGAAATCAATACACCGCCAATCAGTTGCTGTCAATTGCATGGCTTGACTCGACGTACGCAAAGTGTTGAAAATGAGCTTGTGTAGATATATATATATATATATAGTCTGTTTGTTTTTTTAAAAGTTGCCTGCAGCATTACTGGGACTGCATATGTATGCTTGTGTGTGTGTGTGTGTGTGTGGTCATACTCTGCATGAACATGCTGGATGTTCAAACACGAAGACATTTGCTCAATGAGATAGACCACTGCTTTCAGAGAGGTGTTGTTTCGTCCCAGCCTACACAGACACACACATAAATGTTTAAACCATCTGTGCAGTAAGCTTGGCTTAAACGCAACAACATCTTGAGTTACGGTGTTGTGATGACTAGCAGGCCCAAGAGAAGTATGAACTTACATGACAGAGACCAGTTTTTGCAGTCTGATAAAAATCTCAGCTATGTGCCTGATTCCTTGGTCTTTCAGATTGTTGTCACTTAGACTGCAACACAGAAGCACAGCAACAAACATAGATGAGTGTCAACTTTTACACCTCTGTCTGAATTTACTTCACCATTATATTCAGTATTTGGTTTCAGGAATCCCATTTAGTTAGTCTGCTCACAAATATACAATTAGAGAGACATTTACACCTAGCAGTGAAATGGACGATCTACACAATGGACAGAAAACTTAAATACTTGATTTCGGTGATGTCAGGACACTCCCGGAGACCTGATGCCAAACTAGCTGCTCCCGTAGCAGTCAGACTGGCACCACAAAACCTTGTGAAGGCAAAGACAAAATCAGTCAGCCACTATTATAAGGCTGTTTTTTACAGATTGCTTCTAGAAGATTTTTTTTTGGCAACACAAACATGTGAAGTATGTGGACTGTTTGCAGAGACTTGTGTGAATCACAGGCAAAATAAGACGGTGAGCTTCAGTTGTGGGATTGTTGTGTCTTCAGTTTTTAGACCCAGCACACCAATGTGTCCGTTTTTGACACCAATTTTGTATAATATCCATAAACATCTACAGACGATGCACAGGACTAGTGGTTCTGACAAAATAAATGCTGACAGGTTGATCAAGACCCTAAAGTGAAACCTGTTTTTTATACAAAAGAGAGCCTTGCAGACTTTGCATAAAAGCATAAACTGAAGACTGGCCTATTTTTGCAGAGCAGATGTGCACCACTTATACGTCTAGTGTGGCCACTTTCGTTGATTATAATGGAAGTGCAATTTTGCGGCAGCCACTCCGTAAGCAGTCCGCATATGTTACATGTTCAATATATAGGTAGCTATGGGTTTAAGTACAAAGAAAAAATCAACTTACTCTAGTTTTCTCAGGGCTGTGAATTGAGGCAAAACGGAGACCAGCTTCTCGGCAAACTTGTCACCATACTTGCGGCTTCGAAAACTGAAAACACACATAGAATGAATAAGAATACAGTATGCATCATCTGATTAGCAGCTGCAAAAAATGTATCACAACACTGAAAGCTAAGAAGAGTTAATATGTTTAGTAGTGATGTCTATATAGTCCGCGGAATACATATTGATGCTTCTGTGTTTATGTCACTAAATCAAATAACTATATAGTTACGAATTCAGATTGATTTCGAAAGAGAGCTCAAGCCCTTCAACAGTTTGACAGTACACCTGTCTCGTTCTTGAGTGGCACAACATATGTCACCCAAGACATATTTATTCACAAAGAATGATCTAACTATGCGATAATGACACTGGAAACAATGACACAAAGGCCTTGAGAGCTGCTGACAAGACCTGCTGCTGGCCTCGTATGGCTTGTTCTCCTCATGACTGCCATCAAGATTTGCCCAGTATAGTTTACAGCACATACCAGTAACTCTTAAGTTTAGCGTGAAGCACTTGTGCTCTCTCTGCTATCCGTCAAATGTGGCGGTTGTCTGAGTTACCTGTCAGCTTGAACCTGTTTGGCTACTCTGCTCTGACCACTCTCATCAACAACTTATTTTCTATCTGCAGAACTGTCGCTGAATTGGAGCCTTGTTTTTTTCCCCACCCCTCTGAGTAAATTTTGCAAACTGTTGTGCGTTAGAAATCCAGAAGATCAACCAATTTAGCAGCAGTCAAATCAGTCTGGCACCAACAACCATGCAACAATCTCCGTCCCTGAGATCACATTTTGCTCTGCATGCTGATGTTTCATTACAACAATAATTGGAGCTCGTCACCTGCATCTGCATCATTTTATGCACTACATTGCTCTCAAATGATTGACTGAATGGATAACCGTGTGAATAAGCAGCTGTACAGGTGTTCCTTAATAAAAGATTTAGTATGCACAAGAGCTTCAGTTTGTTTTAGAGGTGGATCCGTTTTGTCTTTACAGCTCAGTTTTGCAGGCACCTTCTGGCTTTACTGCTTAATGTTTGGGCTGAGCTTGCCAGATGAAGGTCAAATCAGGTCAATTATATTTATATGGCACGATTTCACAAATCACAAATTTTGCCTCAAGGGGTTTTGCAATAGAATAGAATAGAATAAAACTTTATCGATCCCTTCGGTGTAAACCTCAGGGAAATTGTTGAATCAATCTGCACAGCTCCTCAAAAAAATATAAGAACGAAATGGAAGAAACACAAGGAATAGGAATTGAGGAGGGATCCCTCTTCCACAACAAACAGACATGCATTAGACGTTTTGTGAACAGAAGAGAAACATAGGAGATTAACTAGCATAGACAGCTGAACGGACCAGCAACTTCCAAGTGTAGCCAAACAGAAGGTCTCACCTTCACCACGAAGTCCTTTTAAGCTACATGTAAGTGTACACAGTAAATAGGAGTGCATTTTCTTTAGATTTATTCAAATAAAACATATTTTAAAGGAGTCAGTGGTCATCTTTTTGTACTTGAGTCAAGACTACTGTATGCCCACTTGTAACAGGAAGACTCAGCCAACCACACCAACCACATGGACGCAGCAAGAATTATCGCATTCCAGTGAGTTTCACAGTATGACAGGTGTTCAGCCAGCTGGGGAATGTCAAAGGCAAAGCAGCAGTTCTTTCCGGAGCCACATGACTGTCGCTGTGCAACTCTCTCTCTCTATAAACGTCCACGGGCTAAACACGGGTTCGCAGATTCTCAACAGCTCAACACTATTCACCTAAACATTCCTATGTGTTGCAACGACAGCCTTCAACTGCCCCTATAGTGCATCACGCCTCCGGCCGTAAAAATAGTTCAGAGCTGTGTGCTCCTAGCATTTCCACAAAAGCTGAATGTCATAAGTAGAATAGCCTGTAAAGTGATTTCAAGTAACAAAGTCTAAATGCAGATTTTTTTTTTAATAAGGAAAATATGCACTGTTTTGCTATGTGTGAGTGTCTGTGTCCACCCACCTGAGGCAATGAATGTACTGGCACCTGGACAGGACATCTAAACACTCCAGCTCCATTGAACATGCTCCAAAGTCCAAACCGATGCCAGTAGCTCCTGCATTAACTACAAAAGCAAGAGCCTCAATATCATTCGGTAATAGCCTGATGTTGCGCAGCTCCAGGGTGGGTCTTGCACCCACAACCTGCTTGGCCAGATGGAGGTCTTGGCTCTCCTGGACACAGTGGCAAAGCTCCAGTATCTGCGAAAACGTAAAAAGGAAAGATTGATATGGAAGACAAAGAAAAAAAAAATCTGTTGTTTATCAGGTATGCTTTTACTGTATTCTACCTTTGGCCCAGTTAGAGTGTTGCTTTGACACAGGGTGTTTAGCATTTTCAGAACCACAGCTTGTCGTTTCTGGACCCAACTTTGGACGCCTGTTCCACCAGAGGCCCTGGCTAATTGGACCAGGGCTGTAGTGCATTGAGGGGAAGCCAAACCACATACATACAGGTACAGGGAGTCAGTGAAGACCGTCTTCTGGTCTGATTTGGTTGTCCAACGGGTTTTCAGACTGAATCTGAGGGAACAATGAGAAAGCGAAAGTAGTCGGTCAAGTCAACATTTTAATCAGGGTATGATTAAGGTACACACCTATGTTATACTGCTGTCTTGAGGATGGTTCCTAAGCAACAATAAAATGAGAATTATAACCACATAAGCTACAATCAGTACACTGTCCTGTCCTGACTAGTATCATCACACGATCAATGGCATATTTTAGCATAAGAGAAGTATTTATTTTTATGAATGTAGGTAATATATGGTTTAATGGTGGTTTAATATATAGTTTACAGAAGCAAACAGGAAATTTAAGGTGGGTTGGTCTGGATGTCATGAATCGACTGCACATTTTAACAGGATGAATAAAGCATATTCTACATCAATATTTATATGAATATTCCAGGAGGTGTGACTATTGCTCACAAAGGACATGGAGCAGGCAGCAAGCACAGGGGACCCCAGTTTTAATTGCTTCGGACTGTCTGTTTGTTCTCTGCAGTCACTTTCTGACACGCAAACATGTCATCAAGGTTACCGAATGTTCACAGGGTATGGCATACAACAATAAAAGCCAGAAGTGTGCCAAGGGTGCTGCATGTAGCTGAAATGCATTTCAACCACTAAGTCACCAGACACTCAGAGTGTAAACATGTAATTGCAGGGTCAAACTACACATAAACAGGGTTGTTAAACAAGATTTTTTAAGCAGGTGAGGAGTCCTCGTAATGAAGTTGGGAAATTGCTTATGGACAAAATAGTTTTCACAGACCGCACTGCCAGCTATTTGTTGCCTGCTCCAGTTACATGGTTGCAGTAATCCCAAGTCATCAAATAATATTGCATTTAAGCCACAAAGCAAAAACACTCCTTGTAAAAATCCACCTTACACTCCAGAAAAATGTTGTCACTCTTCAGGGGAAATGGTGTGTGGACTTCTGATAAACATATAAATGCACCAACAGCTTTTATTGTACATTGCTCCAAATGATTTTACTGTAGAAATTTGGAATCTATGTGCAACTGCACTCTGGGTTGGTTAGGCTAGGTTCATTCCCACCGTTGCCGACTGCTTGCTCAGAGGGAGTCCAAAGGCAACTTTGGATTGTTGGGCTCTCTGTTTAAATTCATAAGGTCTTCACCTTACTATGTTAAGCGCTGTGAGATGACATATGTTGTAAACTGCGCTACACAAATAAAATTGAATTGAACTGAATAAAGCCACTGTAGGATCCCAATGCCAGATCACTAGATATATAGAAACATCAAATATTGATCCTTTTACAGTGTGTTGGCTTCTGCGGTTTAATAAAGTCAAAGAATAGAAGAACTAATTAATCAATTCTACATTTGTTTGGCCAGTGTGAAAGAGTTTTTTTTTTTTATTTCAAAGCCAAAAGTGTGAGAGCTGGCTGTGATACTGTGAAGGAGAGCTCTGAAAGAACTCTGGCTCTATTTAACCTCTGAATTTATAGAACCCACTGGTAAGAACAAAACCCTTTTCATCATCAACGAAAACAAAAAAAAGTGCATGCCACTATGCTTGTAAAACCATAACGTGCACTAATTAAATAAAGCACAGACTTTCAATCAGTCAGTTATTCTTGCAATGTTGTCTCTCAAATGATTAACTTGTCATCTGAATACCTGGCTGACAGATGAATTGGAAGCAGCACACTCAATCAATAAAAACACACAATAAATGTCCATCCGGTAGTATGTTTTAATGTGGCCCCGCACAAGGAGCCTCTAACTAAGTGACAGAGGTCGCCTCCTGCTGAGTCATGTCTGCTGTGCCAGGTCTCAGTTTCAGGCCCCCCCACCCTTGCAGATCCCCTGAGCCTCCACCGCTGTGATTGGACCCTCTGCTTTGTGCCGACATCAGTGTATTTCTGAATTCCTTTTAGGGAGTAAGGCCATACATGTCTTGTACTGTACTGTGCTCAACTTACACAGCTCGCATTTCTTCCAAGGCTGAGTTATTCCTGGTATAGGATGTGACTCGATATGGTCGAATTCTATCACTACTATTCATTCTTTTGTACTTTGAATCATTATCCCCATGAGACTGTAGAACATAACTTCAGTATAATATGTGCACGTCATTATTATTATTATTTTTATTATTATTATTCGTTATATATGAGATGATTTTCAAGCTATGGTTACAAATGTCTATTTTTTGGTTGCATTTCACACTACAATGCATGTTTACATGACTTCATGTTTGGTACTTTTGGACCAGGTCAAGACTGCACAGTGAAAAGGGGCGAGGACTGGCGTGAACAGATGAAGTCTCAAATAAAGGTTTTGGTATTTGGCACACTTAAAGAATTTGGTTTACATGCTGCACAGTAAACACACATCAGTTTAAAGTATGTGAGCAGGCGGATAATTTCACAGTATTCAATGAAAATGCTCAGTGATTGTGTATTAGGTTTTGTGATACAAAAGAAATAACAGCTAATCACAAATAGTAATTGTAATTATACTTTATCATTGCAACTGCACCATCACACTGACATACAAACCACAGTGACACCTAATCTGAAAGCGATTGCAATCATAATATTGCAGTCATCTTGTAAAATGTAACCATGTTCTCTTCCATTTCCACCTGGCTTTCAACAACTCAGTTCCTTACCTCTTCTTGAGCTGTGCATCACTAACTTCATCACTCGTCATGAGTCTAAGCGCAGCCAAAAACTCCTGCACTGTCAGATGAATGAAGCAGTAGGCATTGACAAGCATCCCATCCTGACCCCTGAGCTCCACCTAACAGGAAGACAAAGATGTTTATTATTTATTCAGACACAAACAAAACTGCATCTCAGCTGTTATGTTCACTGTAAAGAAAATCTAATTGTGAAGTAAATAAAAGTTGAGGCCCAGTGCTTGTTTTTTTTTGATTATTTGCAGTGACAGTAAATGTAAATTCGGTCAGAAAATCTTATTTAGTGATCAGAAAAAGGGTTAAGTGATGTGTGCAAGAGTTTTGCATATTTTTTTGTGTGAGAATGTCAAGCAGCAAGGTGACTATATCAAGCAACTCCTACGATTTTATACCATCAAGACAATTTATTTTCTGAGAAATATTAGGCACAAGATTTTTGTTCGCTATCAATTATGTTTTAACTTATCTCATTCATGTTATTAAAACTCAGGGACTAAGGTGACTAAAACCATGTTAACATTGTCATACCTTCACATTTCTTCCAGTATAGCATCTATCAACTTGTTTTTTTCCAACATTATACATACTGGTTATTTACTACTGGTTGAGCGGTTCTCAGCTGTTGTATTCTAATGCTTGCACACCTGTATGTTTTTGCATCTAAATATTAAAATAAGAAATAAATAAATGTATCCTTGATTAGAAATCAAAGTCCAACAAAACTTATTTGCTATGTAATCACAACTGTACGCAGAGAGTCACTTCAAACATCGTGCTGCTGTCTTCTGTTCTAAGTTTTTCACTGAAGCCACTCTGAAGCAAAGCCGCTGCGAGCAGCATTGGTGAGTGAGGCTCTACTTATAAAGATATTGACTTTTTCTGGGGACAAACTTCTTTGAAATTCTGCAAAGAAAGGATGCATTTAGAAGAAGCAGATGAAGAGCTGCAAACAACAGCAACACTCCAACCAAAAACATGTCACCAGTTTTAGCTGATTACATGTTAGACAGACTAAAACTTCTATTACATTTAAAACCACATAGGCTCCAGTTATGATTTATGATTTATGTAGACTACAGTACACAGTATAGTTCTATCTATGCAATGTAAGGAACTACTTTTCCCACAATACAAATACATTTCTAATGTTAACACTGGAGGTGGGTACAGAAAATGAAAACGTAACAAAAAGAACCATTAAGCGTACCATTTAGGTACCAGATGGCTGAGCAGTATTGGTAAGAGTGGTAGCAGTTAAAATCCTAACAGTCCCCGTCCCTTGTTTCCACATAGGTTTACCATTTTATCTTTATGTGCTAAAAGGAGTTTCAAACTCTTAGTTCTACATACTGTGCAAGCCTTGTAATAGCACAAAGAAAGTGTGCAGAAACCTGACAACAACCATGTCTGACCTGCGAGAAGAGCCCTGTCCTGACTGAAAACTCTAGAACATCTTGAGGAATGTCTTCTTCTTCAAAGAGGATCTTGCTTTCCTCTAAGCCTCTCCACGCCAGCCGACTCAACTCGCACAATTTGGATCGATACTGAGTAATTTGTGAATGCATAGTACTGTACAAAGAGAGAAAAATCAAACACGTCAGTTTGCATTTAATCACAATTAAACCAACTGCAACATTGATATGCTATACAAAGGTGGCAGGTTTTTTCATCACTACTCTTTTGTCAAGCATTTGAAGGCTCACTGAAATCCGATGTTGTTGTGTTGACGACATTCATATGTTAAGTACTCTACTCAGTCTTTACCTCTGAGGAAAACTCTCAGCCTTTGGCCTGTCACCTCTTCCTCCTGGGTTGGAGTCACGGCTGAGAAACGCACTGAGAACAGTGAGGTAGACCTGGGTGAGGGTGGCAGGGATTTGTGCTAGCGTGGGAGGTAGCTGAGTGTTGCCATTTGTTCCATCCATTGATACATCCTCACTGCCTTCTCTCGTTCCACCTTGTTCACTGTGTGCATGTCTCTCTCCTCTACTACCCTCTTCCCCACTTCCTTCCCCTGGGACCTGTGTGCCTTTCAGCAGTAAATGTTCCAGACAGATGCAGCAGATGTTGCAGAGGGCAGGGAGGGAAGACATGGCAAGGAGGTGTCGATTGGAAAGAAGGAGATTCGCTGCTTGCACTCCAAGAGCTCTGTCTCCAGAGTGACCTTTGTAGTGAATACATGGACTACGTTAACACCACAGAAATTTACAGTAGACTCGCACAATTGTTTTTATAAATTTTTCCTGATGAGACCTCGACTACGACTGTATTCAAACGAAGCCTGAGTGACATCTCCCTGACTTTCCTGCTAGTTTTGTTGCACCATTTTTGATTCTTACTGCATGAAGTTTAGGGATCTCATGTAACACCCAGGGTAGCTTAAAGAATGCATGTTGGTGTGCAAGCTGATTTCAAAATGCGCATGAGAAAACTGTATTACACGAGTTCAATGCAAAGCACTTGTTTCCAAACTTGCCTTAACATACTCTGTTTAGAATTTCTTCAAAAATACTAATTTTACACTAGTTATGCAGACAATATTAAAGCTATTATGCGTGAAAACCTATTATGTGAATCTGGACATCTACATTCAAGCAGGAAGAGGAAAAAATTGTGGTAAAATTGCAGCCTGTGAGACTGAGGAGGGTGCAGAAGAAAGAAGAGAGGACAGGAGGCAAAATATAGCCAAAACCAAACAGAAAATAAAAAGATGCCGAGGAGCGTCTAGCAAAAGTAAAAGAGAAAGAAAGATAGCAATTTAGAGCTTAGAGGCTGTGTGGCTATGATAGAGGGAGGAGAAGAGAGAGGCAGCATAAAAATGTTATCTGCACTGGACAGACAGTTTAAATGATACTGCGAAGCTGGCTTCAGCCCTATTCTCTATTTTTATAGACTGAGTATGTTCACAAATTGAGAATGTCTTTCTTTACCAGTTTAAAAACTTCAGGATTTTTATAACTCCAAGATGAGCCTTGTAAACCCCTTTCAAATAGCAGAAATTTGAAGGCTCAGGAACTATATATTAGGATTTAAAACAAAAAAGTGAAGTGAAATTCAGCCAGAAATAAATAAACGATTTACAAGTTTAAGCTTTTGAACCCCAAAAGGGTTTGAAAGGCATGTTGCCTTTATCAAATCAACAGATATACACCATTTTTCTGAGCCAAAAAAAAAGTAAAAAATAGAGAATTGTCAGATTTTTAAGTTCTGGTTGATCTTTGAACAACTGAACTGTGATATGCCAGTCACAGGTGTAGGACTTTATATTGTAAAAGAGCCCACAGTGAGTAAAAATGTGACAGGAACAAAAACACCCGAAACTGATTGGGATTCAGGGGGTGAATATAACATATCTAAAGCCTTTCGAATATTTAGGGTATACATTAGTCATTTAGTGTTACACACTTAAGTCATCAAAACTATGCTAAAATCTGTAACGTTGAGGCCAACCTATCCTGATTTTCAGACCCTACACTTCCCATAATGCAACTCCACAGTATACTTTCCTTGATGGTGTCACCAGAGCTTACTTTCATAATCTTTGCAAAGCCGCAAAACACATTCTAAAAAAAAACAGCTTTCATTCATCATTGTAAGTAGTACTCCCATATTACAGAATGTTAACAGAAATTACTTGGAGAATTCACTTGCTTAAGAAGTTAGTTTCTGCTGAACAGAAAGAGCACCAAAAGGTGAAAAAACTAACCCGAACATCTAGACATCTGGCCTAGAGTAACATTGTACAAAATGTAAAATTTGATTAAGTTACCACGAGTGTAAGTAGCCACTGATCCACACTGAAAAGACTTTTCAGTTTATATTAAATGATAATTTGTCTAGGATAAATTATGCAAAATAGCAAATGTCAAAAGAAGAATTCAAGTTGTCACCTTTTACACCAAAGAACTTGTCCACGTACTCCTTGATCTCATGGAGGCCCCACTCCAGCAGCTGGCCCACTTTATCTGATATGCCGTCCAAATCCACAGCATCCCGAACACGACAGGTGACCAGCACGGTGCATCCTTTGAGAAGCTGACGATTTAACAACCCTGAGATGAGGTCTGCAACAGGCAGAGGGTTTTCCAAGTCCAACGGTTCTCGCTGCATCTCCTGTCTGTTGAGTTTACCGTGAAACTCATCATAGCCATCTAGAACCCAACAGCTTTGCTCTGGATTGGAAAGGAGGTAGTCCACAATTGCTTTCTGCTCAAACACAGAAAAGATGTCGACCATAACAACACGGAAATGTATCAAAAAATGTAAAAATGTATTGGTATGCTTTGATTGTTTATTTGTCTGTCAGTTTACTTATCTGTAGCACTCCACTTCCTAACTAATTTATTCTGTCTAAATAACTTCTGCTTTTCTCCTGTGCTTCCAAAACTATACAGTTCTGTCTTTTAGAAGCTGTTTTATTTTACTGAGACTGTAAGAGCAATTTTTTGGTTTTTCTTTTTTCCATTAGCACCAACTCTTAAAACTATTTAGCTTAAGAAGAACCGACCCTGGTGACCTGGCAACCAAACTAAGAGCAACCTCAACACTCATTTCAGTACAACACATTAACAAGTGCTGAAGTTCAGTCTGTTGTCTTTACTCTGAGTTTATTAAACACCTACAGCATCAGACAGCAGCAGGATCCATACGAGAAGCTGAAGCCAGCAATGTTACATATCCCATGTCTGAAACTGGCTTAATGGTACTCTTCTAGTATTGCTCTCTGTATACCTTTGCATCGCTGCAACCATTTGGAGGGAGGTAATGTTGGAGCAGCAGCTCAGCCAGGGAAAGAGGGTGGGACAGTAGATTGAGCTGACGAAACTCTAGCAGGACAAACAAGTAGGACGAAGGGATACAACCCTGGATGACAAGACAGGAAACAGTCACATCAAAGTCTGTTTGCATATCTCAGGAAGTAAAGCATATGTTAAAAAAAAGTTGGACAACATCATTTGTGGCTGCGGGGAAAGATGCAAAAGGTGTCTTGGCTTCTTTTGCTCATTATGTATTTTTAGCATATAAAAAAAAAAAAAATATGGACATGTTTACAAGGTAAACTAAAGGGCTCTCAGCAGAGGGATATAGTTGCCCCTGCCAGCCATGCTTGCACTGAGCCCCAGTAAACCGATATTCAGTCCGACTTACTGCAAAATAGGTATTTTCTTTCACTAGTTATGGTTGGCTGGTTGTCCAAGGTGAAATGGGTACTATCCATGTGTACATTACATGTTATTTAAAATATAATGGCAATATCAACATCTTTTGACCTTGAGTTTGGCCTTGAAATATCACCCAAGGTCAAATGTTACATCCCCAGTTGGAAATCTCTCTCTCTCTCTCTATATATATATATATATATACACACATATATATATATATGTGTGTCTGTGTGTGTGTCCTTGTCAGGGGCCACTACAAAAACTTGATTTAAACAGGAGGGGGTCTTAATTAGTATTCTTACCCAGAACAAAGAACATCTCTAGTAATGTCAATTATTTGTATGTAATAATCAAACTGTGACAAAAAAAGTGAACTTACTAGTTCATTTGCCCACTGCTGTCCTAGCCAAGACATTAGCATAGTTTTTCCTGACCCAGCCTGGCCGACGAGAACTGTCACTTTTCCTGCACATCCCTGGAGGAAGGTCTCCAAAGTCAGCCTGGACTCCAAACACCCATAATCCCCATAAGGATCTGAGTTTGGGGAGAAAAAAAAAAGAGTAAGTTTCTAGTTAGTGCACAGGGCTGCAAGATGGAACAGTGGTTAGCACTGCTGCCTCGCAGCAAGAAGATTGCTGGTTCGCGCTCCGGTGAGGACACCCGGGATCTTTCTGCACAGAGTTTGCATGTTCTCCCCGTGCAGTGTGAATTTTCTCCAGGTTCTCCAGCTTCCTCCCAAACAGTCCAAAAACATGTTGAGTTTAGTTGGTGAGTCTAAATTTTCCGTAGGTGCGAATGTGAGTGTGCTTGGTCGTCTGTCTCTAAGTGTAGCCCTGCGATAGACTGGCGACCTGTCCAGGCTGTCCCCTGCCTTTGCCTTAAGTCAGCTGGGATAGACTCTAGCCCCCCGCAACCCTAGTGAGGATTAAGTGGTGTATAGATGATGGATGGATGGATAGCTAGTGCACAGAAGACTTCAACTCTTTGTGCATAGAAAGCTTCCAGTTCTTTATTTATGCCAAAATTTTATGATCAGCTTAATATAAATTTAGCAAATACTTGTTGTACACTTGGAGGAAGAGAAAGTCACACTGACCCGGTGTTGTGCTCCCTCTGTCTGCTGACCCAGGGGTTTGATCAGGCCTTTCCCTGATTCTGTTTGTAGTTCTTAGGTTAACCCACACATTCTCCAGCTGGACGTCCTTGACCAGCCGCTCTGTCAGTCGCTCCCATCTCCTCCGCAGCAAACTCCTCACTGCAGTAATGTACTGACCCCAGTAATCTGTGGTAAAAAAAAAAAAAAAACAACAAAAAAAAAACAAACAAACAAAAACAACTAATAAAAAGTAGCTCTATTTTTAATGTGCAGCAACACACAAAGGGTAGATGCTCCCTTTATTAAGAATCTAATTGCAGTTTAAACAATTGTTCATGCATGTGATGGCATACCGGATACAAAATCTGGACAACATGCAGCACAAGAAATGGAAGAATTTTGTTTGTACTCATGGAATCCAAAGCATCCTAGTGGAAACGACATCCATGCTGGACATATACAGTGAACACAGTTGGTGTTCAGACACTCAAGTAACCTGGTTTTGATTCACGCACATCTAAAGAACTGAGTTGACCCTGGTAATGCCATATTTAGTAAAACGAACAAAAGGTTTTATACACACTTTTAAAGACCTGTTTATCACAAAAAAACAAGCCTGGTCAAAAATATACATACATCAAGTGCATTATTATTATTGGTAATGTAGGGAGTTGTACTAATCGAATTTTCTAAGTGGCACGACCGGTTACATTCTTGTGTGCGATTACAATTGGCGACAGCTACCGACTCTTCTGAGCCAATTTAAATAGGGCCCTTTTGATACACTCATTAGACTCAGCTGCAAAGTCTGAAGTCCTGAATACAGATTTGAAGAAGCAAATCATTGACTTGAACAATTCAGGAAAGTCACTCTGAGCCATTTTAAGGCAGCTACAGATCCTCAAATCAGCTGTGCAACCATTGCGTCTAAGCATAAAGTTCATGGTACAGTTGTGTCACTGCCACAATCAGGAAGACAACACAAGCTATCACCTGCTGCTGAAAGACAATTGGTCAGGATGGTCAAAAGTCAATCACCAAAAACCAAGTCTGCAATGAATCAGAAGATGCTGGAACACAGCTGTCAGTGTCCACAGCCAAGTGTGTTAAACATCACAATGAGCTGACAGGCTGCTGTGTAAGAAAGAAGCCCTTCTCCTGAAAACAGCACCGTAATGCTTGACTGGAGTTTGCTGCTGATCAAATGCACAAATCAAAGTTTTTCTGGAGGAAAGTTCTGTGGTCAGATGAAACAAAAATTGAGCTATTTGGCCTCAATGAGCAGAAATATTTTTTGAGGAGAGAAGTTGAGGCCTTTAAGAAGATCCAAGAAGATCAAACTTACCATCAAGCATGGTGGTGGCAGTATTGTGGGATTCTGGGGCTGTTTTCTAGCCAGTGGAACTGAGGTGTTATACAAAGTGAATGGAACTATGAAGAAGGGGGATAACCTCCGCACTCTTCAGGAAAAATCTAAAATCAGCAGCCAGAAGGTTGGATCTTGGATGCAGTGGGGTGCTCAAACATGACAATGACCCCAAACACACATCAAAATTGCCAAATTAGGTTAGAATTCGGGTTTTAGATCTGCCTTTCCAAAGACCTGACTTAAACCATATCGAGAACCTGTGGACTGTGATACAGAAACAAGTCTGTGTCAATAAGTCAACAAACGTAGCTGAATTGCACCAATTCTTCCAAAAAGAGTGGTCAAAGACACAACCAGAAGCTTGCCAAAAAACTTGTGGATAGCAATCAAAAGCATCTAATTGAGGTAAAAATGGCCAAAGGACATGTAACCAATTACTAGCATTGCTGTATGTATATTTTTTAACAAAGCAGATTTTGTTCTATTTTCAGAAGACCTAGAATAAATCTATGAAAGAAAAAAAAATGCATGATTGTTTTTTTTTCACAAAGATGCATTTGTTTCAATTATTCCATGAAGTTGTAGGAGTCAATGGAAACTCTGACACCCATGTGTAGATACAAATGCAAACTTTTGTTTACATACACTTGTGTATGTTGATTTATCGGTGGAATAAATCGATGGATATTAACCAGTGGATGGATATTTGACTTTTTTTCTGTGCAAACAAATGAAGCTATGATGTAACAAAGTGTAAAAGTCATGTGTATGCTCTACCAATCCGTGGACGTTTCATCAACTGCTGCTCAGGTAGCGATGATGAGATCTGATCATTTACACTGGGGCTTGAATTTTCACATTCACCTAGAGGCGAAAAACACAAACAAAACATACAGTGAATGAAAATACTGAAGAATACTCGAAAAAAGTATTAATAGAATCAAGTGCACCACAAGAGTTTGTGATATTCTGTAACTATTACTTTTACTTTCTAAATCATCTAGACATGAAAAAACAAAAAGACAAACACAGAGGAAAATTCTGGGGATTCCCAAAGTGAAATAAAATGTCAGACGATTTATTAAACATGCGCAAATGCAAAACTAACCACTGCTTTTGCTTTCACTTTAGTTTGTGCAGGCTCTTCACTAAACAAATAACTCACCCTCTTTGGAAGAAACACTGTTCAACTAAAATAAACTATTTGAAGGAGGCTTGACTACTGATTGACTGCAAAACAAATGCAGTCACATTTCTCAAAATTATTTTGCAAATCGGATTCAGAATTGTTTTTTATACTTGTTTTAGGTAGAAAAGTTCTACTGATGAGCAATGTGTGACTCAGTTTATATAAATATTTAGTTCAATTTTAATTTCAGCTCTGTTTCACTGATATGGGACCACTCACTAACTCACTAACTCACTCACTGACTCAGCATCCACTGAGTTTAATCTAAACTTCTACGTAAGACATACCGCATTTTGTTTTGGGCTCAATTTGCAAATACACAGCAACAGCAAAGAGTAATATCTAAAATTAAGTGAACTGAAGAAATGTCGCCTACTTCAGTTATATGATGTATACCAAGCATTCAACCACAGAAAACACAAAATGTAGTGTATGTACTTAAAAAATGCATGTTACAGACAAGCACAAAAATCTTTACACACATACACATGCATGCAAACACAATCACACATACTTATTTTCTGTTAAGGAGAAACTGTGACAAATATTAACTACATGAGCTTCTCAGAGACATGCAGGAAACCGTGCAGCATCAGCTGAACAGTCATACAGAACATTATACCGGTATTCACGAAAGTGAGCGCAATAACGGTTTTCTGCATTAGTAGGAGTAAATAGGCATTATTCATGGCATTCAGACAAGAGGAGAAGGTACTTTATGGTTTGCAGTACAAGAGACTCACAAAACAGTATAATTTTGCAGCATGAAACAGTTCATAGCTCAATGTTTATGTGCCATATTTAGCAACCAACTACTTCCAGAAAAGTGCACTTTTGCACAGTAGGGGGTTAGACACCTGTGGTAACCACTATGCTGAATTAAATATAAGGGCATCCTGTTCAGTTCAAATGAGCAGCCATGCATAGAAAGAACACAAACAATCCAGAAGTAAAAGCAAACCTTATAGGCTAATTTGTCCTGTTCAAAGTGACTAACGAACATATCTTTATCATTTTTATTTGTGGCTTAAATAGGAGGAAATGCAGTTTTGGCTTCTCTCTTTAATGTAGGGCTGGGTCTGTTGTCACATGTAGTATTCAATACGCAGCAGCTGTTACTTTCCATATGATGTGTAATAAAAAAAAAAAAAAAGAGGAAGAAGAAGAAGAAGAAGAAGAAAACTGTCTTTGAAACAAACTAATAGACAGAAAGGAACCCTGTAGGTCTTTTGCTTTTATCTTCTGTCCTCTGCCAATTTTCTTCTGGACCTTAAGATATGTGCAAACTATTAAACTCATACAAAATGTGTATGTATGATTCTAAACACTAATTTTGATGACATGCTAAAATGGCCCTTGTCATTGTCTTGCATGCAGTCTGGACTGACCGCAAGTCCTCTGAAAATGAAGTGACTCTTTGAGTGCAAGTGACTGAGGATGAATTCACATAGCAAACAACAGATATTCAGTATCATCCTTCAAGCCAGGGACTTTATCATATCATTTCATACTCACTGCTTGCATATCCAGCCACTGACATGAGCCTCGACTCCAGATGCATGGGGATGTTCTCACACAAGATACACACACTCTGAAGGAAGTTGCGGCAATCTTCAGCCCTCGCCGCCATGAAGTAATCCAACATGGCTTTGACGGGGCTAGCAGGGGGCAGCTGGTTCTGCCACCCAGCTTCACTGGGCATCATTTGGCACAGCTTCATTATGACTGTGGGAGACTGACTGCTAAGAATGCCGAACAGTTCTGAGGATTCTTGAGCCAAGACGGAGTTCACATTTTCGTCTTGAGGGTCAACCTCCTCATCCATGGTCAGACTCCATCAGCTGATACACAAACAAGCAAACACAGGAACACTTAGATAAATAATGTCATACCTCGAGGGCAACTCTAACAAGGAAATACGCTACCCCCCCCAGACCATCATAATCACATAGAAAGTCACAATTTGCAGCTCTGTGCAGCAAGGCAGGAAGAGATAAAGTACGCAGCATGGCTCAGATTAAACAACATATGTAGAACCACACAACACATTTTAGCATCTAAACCGCAGCATACATCCAAACGCTCATAAAAACCTATGTACACATTGCGATAGTGGGCGTACCTCATTGCAACTTGTGTGAAGTGATATGTAACACCAGTAGAACAAAAAAGAAACTTCATGGATCAACCAGTAACACACAAGTCAATTTTATAATCAGAAGCGTAACACCGTGTTCTACTGAAAGGAGAAAATAACCAGCAAACATGATATATTTTGACACAATAAAAAACTCTAAAACTTTGTTAGACACACGTGGTCTGCTTGGCTTTGTCTCGACGTTTAATTACATCTTAGTGTATGTTTGCTGATTTTCATACATTTATATTTTTGCGCAACTGAGATAAAGTGCTTCCACTGAAAGACTTTTAATATAATTAGATTCAAAGCTTATAACGAAAACAACTACTACGGAGTGAAGCTGAAGTTGATATGCGATAAGAGCATGTTTGATGCGTGTGCGTTTGCGAGCATTTTTTTTTTTTTTAAATTTAACTGCAGATATCGTATTTGTAGATTTTCAATCAAAACTTTGCCGATTAGCTATCAATAGAAATGCATTGCCTTGGAAAAGTTCCCTCGGAGCATAAAGTATGTTTCGTCTCCTGCTGTCCCTCATCCTGCCCCACAATCCCTGAACACCGAGGTCATATGAGGTAACGACCACGGCGTCCTCTGCCTGCACCTCCGCAGGAGCAGAGTTTAGGCTGCATATGCCATTCCTTTAAAAGTGACCAAATAATGAGAAATATAATAACGACTCACCACCAACTCTTGCCGTAGACTGCATTTCACTGCAGCCAGTCTGTATTATTCTAAAACGAAACCAAAGGCAGGGCGCGCACTGGTTTTGGTTTCGTTTTTCCGGTCCCGGTGGAGAGGGACGCTCCGATACGCTGGATTTAACAGCGCGTCTGTTCAATGAAGCACTTTGCTGGAAAATTTCAATGACAAATGAAATATTGGAGTTTCACATTTCGTAAGAGGACCTGCTAAGTTTTCAAATTATAAACACCTATATGTCAGAACATTTACTTAATTTATTAATTATGCAAAAAAGCTCTTACTTTATAATGGGTATACCTGTCAGAGCGATCAAGCGCTGACTAATATTCTGTTTCGCCACAGAGCACCACACTAAAGATCAGGGGTGCATCCAAAGGGGGACAAGAGGGGGCCACTGAAATCTAATCAGTCACCACAAATCTAACAGGTCAAGATCATCCACTGGATCTCTGATGTCCAAATTTCAGTGAAGTGCTCAACTATGGGGGTTGCTCAGTGGTCAGCAGCTACAAGATCCCCGGTTTGTGTCCCAGAGAGGACACTCGTGGATCCTGACCAACTTTTCTGCGTGGAGTTTGCATGTTCCCCCCGTGGGTTCTCTCCAGCTTCCTCCCACAGTTCAAAAATATGTTGAGGTTAATTAGTGATTCTAAATTGTCCGTAGGTGTGAATGTGAGTGTGCTTGGTTGTCTGTCTAGCCCTGTGATAGACTGGTTACCTGTCCGTGGGTGTCCCCTGCCTTCGCCCAAAGTCAGCTGGGATAGACTCCAGGCCCCAAAGACCCTAGTGAGGATTAAGTGGTGAATAGATAATGGATGGATGGAATACCATAAATCATAAAGAACAACAAAAGTTGAATTTATTTGACAAAAAATGCTGAAAGAGTGGAATCAACAACATTTTTGCCCACATATGTTACTAATAATGGAAAGAAAAGGAATCTGTACGAAATACGGATCATTTGCTATTTACATTTTTACAACCTCTACAAACTCATCTCACATCAACTCTGTGAAGGCCTCCAAGACCCGAGTGAGGATTAAGTGGTGAATAGACAATGGATGGATGCTCAACTATGGTGCCTGAGTGCACATAAAAGCAGCAATAAATAACACAACACCACAGGCAAGAGTGTGAAATACACATTTTTTGTGCCTTTTGTTGACATATGCAGACCTGAAAATAGAGTTTGGTTTAGTTTGGTGCTTCCAGCTGTTTGCAGGACTCCTTCCTCTGAGTTTATTCTGCAGCATCAGAGAGCAGCAGGACGCGAATGAGTGTCTCCAAGGTGAAGGAGTTTCCAACACAGCAGTAACCTAATTAACTACTTCCTATTATAACTTGTCCCCAACCTGGAAATAGTTTCAATCAGGATCGAATGGCACATGACACCTCATATGTCTATACAGCAGACATATGAGGTGTACGTACAGAGTCAAAGTTTTTAAGCAATTACAGTCAAATCATTTGTTACACAGCTGAATCTTGAGTTCTATCATTGCTGGATATTATTTCACTTATTTCACTGTAAAAGTCTGATCCATTTACTACAGTTCAAATACATTTTTTTTCTATTATTGGGACTTTTCAGTTTCTATTATAGAGCATGTGGTGACCCCTGTAATCAGTACTCAACAGTTAACATGTGTTTTGCTGCATCACAATTGGTTTCAGTTAGATAAACTATCATTAATCATGGACAGGAATTTTAGTGTTGAAATAAAATACACTGCAGCACGGTGTTGCCCTAATAACAAAATAGCTAGCTGCAACTGGATGTATGCGCAGAAGATCATTTGTGACATTAATTCTAAAATAAGCAATCAAACTGTGTTATTGTTTTTGTGGGGCCTAAATATTTTCTATGGCCCCATCTGGTCATGCTTAGAGAAGATTTCTGCAGGCACCAGTGCTGCACGGTCAGTTCTAAGTGCTTGAGTTCATTTTAGAAGCATCGCTGATCTGTCTTCTTTCGTATTAGTGCCTCACAACAGAACCTTGTCACAGCATGTTAAGTATAAAAACACTTTAGTAAGAGCATGCAGGGAGAGAGAACCAACAAGATGCCCTGTGTGTCTGCTCATTCCCAGTGTTGCCGCGCTGCAGTCCCTTTTATACTAACTTTGTCGACACTATTAGATGTTACCATGAGTGGTCACAGTGTTTCTGACAGTCTGCTGACTAGCTTTTTTTACGGAAGCTTCACCAACTGACTTGTCCCTCAAAACCCCCACTTTAAACACACCCACCTGATCTCTGACCCCAAGCTAATTTGTCTTCTTCGCGAACAGATATCTCGTTACACTGAGCTGGCACAATTAGATACAGTGCAGCAAATGTTAGGCAGGCTTACAAGAAAACATGGAAAGAAATAACTTAAATTCATAATTTTTTTGATAATAATGAATAATATATAAAGAGTTGCACTTAATCCAGAAAGCTTTAGAAATTGATTTTCTCAGTTACTGCTGTTGTTTTAATTAAGTCAAAGTAATCCTCCTGTTTGGTGAGCATGACTGAATACAAAAACATGTCACAATGTTAGTATGTTGCGACACAAACAGTAACTTTCTTTTTCTTCAAAAAGTACCTTAACATTGTGGCTTTGGCAAACACTTGAGTTCGAGGGCGTTGCCGTGATTCATCATCAATCAGCCGCATGCTCGCTGCTGCTACTTGGCTGGGAAATCTGGAGCACAAGAAACTTCATAGGAAAAAGTCTTTGAGCATGAAACTGATTGGACATATGAGCCTGACTTGCCAGCGTCACGATGAATGTATGATTTAATTATGAAGAAGTAAATGCCAACCTGCTGACACATAACCACACGTTTATGAACTAATTTACACATCTATCCAAGCAAGCTGTGTTCAACTTGTAATACCAAGCAAGTGAATGCAACATCATGGTGAACTCACAATATGTCTTCATTTTGTTGTGATATAAAAATTCTTTTTGCGTCTGGCAGGCTTTGTACCCTCCTCCTCTTTCAATGACATGCCTCACTTCTACTACCAACACACAGCAGCCTTTAAAATAACTCATATTACATGATGAGTATGACAGAGGGCTCTCAGTAAGCGCTGTACACACTGACACATGGTATGCGCTCTTCATTGGACCCCAACTCAGCCAACGATTGTTCACTTTGAACACTAACTCAGACTGACTCGATAATGTGGACTGAATCTCCTCACGGAGCTTGAAGCATGATGAGTTATCGTCCACACAGCAGTGACATTCCTGTGAAATGATGGTAAATTAGTTTAGAAGACAAAAATACTTTTTTTTTTTTTTTCAAAAAACAACTGTAATCTGCAGTAAATTTAAATTAATTACACTCAGTACAATTTTGTGCTTAAACTGTGATTTTAAAGATTGTATAGCAAGTCACAGCTTTACATATACATGAGCAAGACCCCTGAATTAATAAAACTGATTATATGGATTGTTCTGAACTTTCTGCAAGTAGGAAAAAAATCACTTGCATCCATCCACCCACAATAAAAGACCATTATTTTGACTAAAATGTATTAAACAACAGTTAAATTCTTCACATGAATTTCAAAACAAAGAATGTGCTCCTTCCCCATTTAAGGACCCCAGAACTTTTTTAGATTTCATTACGGTACCAAACAGTACAAAAAGAAAAGAAGTTTTCTCTTACTTTACTTTCAGTGTTTAGAAATTTCACAGCAAACTTCATTAAGTTTCAAATTATCAATTAAGAAATTAGAGGACGTTATGGAACAAAACCACATTTATGTCATGAAATGCAAAGTCAGTTGTAACTTAAGATGTGAGTGAAAATAGCACACCTTCCAGCTTGATGTAATTATTCTAATTACATTTTTAAATAAAAAAACTCTGACCCCATGGGCTGCTTAAAAGTACAGATTTTCTTTAAAAAAAAATGTAACTGAAAAGCTAATGACTAAAGGCAGAGATTCTCCTAAATTTAGTGCCAGTAAAATATTTCAAATGCTTCCAAGACACATCTGTCATCCTGACCATATTTGGAATGCTAGCCTGCTTTACCCTTTGCCTGGTAAGCAACCCAAATCATATATAAGGGGTCCAGGAGGGGCGTCACAGTGTGCGGTAGAAGACCAGTGAAGTTCCTGCTTGTGGTGAGCTTAGCAACTGTTGAGCCTGCAACCATTTAGATGTATACCTGATTTTAAAAGCAGTTAAAATATAAGTCATGTAAAAGTACAAAAATATGTAGATGTAGTATCTTTAAATGCACGCTGTACTTTTCTCTAGCACAAATTGAAACATATTTTTTCTTGTAGCTTTAACAATATACAATATGTACAAGTTACATTTTAGCAATTAAGTTGTGACTGTGTCCTTAACTGACTTAAACATAATGTTTTTAACAGGTTTGTGGAATACAACATTCTTTCACATTAGGAAAGAGTAAGGTATGTACAACTTTTACCATGCTTATATACTTTACATGCTTTTGGAAACATACATGAGCATAAGCATGTTTAATCAGTGGCCTCAGGTGTTGTTCATGCAATTTAAACAAACCTCAGTGTTAATAATCAGTCCTGTCTTCTAAAAATTACGTTCCAATAGAACTTAACTGCAACTGAATTACATTTTGAGATGGTTATTTTCAATTGGATTTAATTGTTTGCAACATACTACAGATCAGTTGTAATCAACATATTGTTGCCATATATTTCATTGCTTTACTGTTGCTCCTTTTTAGTCAACTAATCTTGCATTTGATGGGGCAGGACTTGCCACACAGTTTGCACAGGGAATGGAGGAGAAGATTAAAAAATATTTTGTGAACTAGACTACTTTAATATAAGCCAGAATATTTTCCTTAACAGGGCTTTGGGGGCCAAACATATAATTACGGTTGTGAAAGTGGCAATTTTCAAAGAGTGATATTTTCGTACACCAAACTTCTTAGCTTTAGTGCCTAAGCTACAACTAACAGTGAGGTAAAAAAAAAAGGGGAGGAACAGCAAGTGAAAATGAGAACTGAGTCCAAGTATAATGGCCCCAATAGGACACGAAACCCAGTCTTCTGGGTGAAAGTCTTGTTATGAACTTATGCGTCCACCTCTTAACACAGGCACTTTGTGTTTCTCTGAAAATGGAAGTGTTTTGTACTAGGTCACAGAACTACCTTTAAGCTGGAAGAAATAATTAGTCTTTTAAAACGTAAATAAAAATACAGTTTAGTTGTCTAGGAATATAATTTTTATCGAAGGGGTTGTAAGAGCAACAAAAATATGGTTAATCTAAAATGCAGAAACTCACCTAAAGGTTACCAGTAAACATGCAGAAAAATTAGTTGGGGATACAATTAGTGGTTAGTAATCCACAGGTACCTAACCTTAGGTGAATGGAAAGAACAGAGACTTCTGTTGGGGAGAAACCTCTAACATGGTTAATGTTTGACTTGCTACACAGACACAAACCGCCACCATGAGTACAGACGCGGAGATGGCCATTTATGGCAAAGCTGCCGTTTTCCTGCGTAAGCCAGAGAAGGAAAGAATTGAGGCTCAAAACAAACCCTTCGATGCCAAGAGCGCCTGCTATGTGGTTGATGCCAAAGAGCTGTACCTGAAGGGAACCATCATCAAGAAAGACGCTGGCAATGTCACTGTCAAAGTCTTGGACACTCAGGAGGTTGGTGTCTTGAAGTCAGACTCCATGGGCGTTAAATGTTAAATGCGATCAGTTCTCATTGTGACCATGTCCTGCTGCAGGAGAAGACAGTCAAAGAAGATGACGTCACTCCAATGAACCCTCCCAAGTTCGACAAAATTGAGGACATGGCCATGATGACCCACCTCAATGAAGCCTCTGTGTTGTATAACCTCAAAGAGCGTTATGCAGCCTGGATGATCTACGTAAGAAAACATTCCTGATTAGCTAAGAGATATTTTAAAAAAAAAACAAAAACACAACACTAGTTAGAAATGTGATATGGCATGAACTTAAATATCTCCATAATCCTTTTTAGACCTACTCTGGCTTGTTCTGTGCCACCGTCAACCCCTACAAGTGGCTCCCGGTGTACGATGCTGAAGTTGTGTCTGCCTACAGAGGCAAGAAGCGTATGGAGGCTCCACCCCACATCTTCTCTGTCTCTGACAACGCTTATCAGAACATGCTTACTGGTATGTGCTTCACATAGCAATGAAGAATTTGTTAGTAATGACCTATCTGTTGCAGAAATGCATTGTGAAGTTCTTTCTTTGTCATTTTAACAGACAGGGAGAACCAGTCTGTTTTGATCACGTAAGTCTTACACTTGTTGCCTTTGTTTATTATGATTAAATATCTTTGACCAAATTCTCACAAGTCTTTGTCTATACCCAGTGGAGAATCTGGTGCCGGAAAGACTGTGAACACCAAGCGTGTCATCCAGTACTTTGCCACAATCTCAGTTGGTGGAGACAAGAAGAAGGAAGCGCAAGGAGCCGGAAAAATCCAGGTATGTTTTGATGGTAACATTTCCCACCTTACGTATTGTTGTACTTGTTACAATGACAATAAAACAAATCTGAATAGACTTCCAGAAGGACAATCCTTTTCTGATATCTGATCTAAACTTGGATTCTAGGGCTCACTGGAGGACCAGATTATTGCTGCCAACCCTCTGCTGGAGGCTTACGGTAATGCCAAAACTGTGAGGAATGACAACTCCTCTCGTTTCGTAAGTATCATCTGATTCCTACACAGGAGTTTTCGTTTTACACATTACCCATGTTAAGGGACTTTAAGCATTCTTTTGCTCCAAACAGGGTAAATTCATCAGAATCCATTTCGGCACAACTGGCAAACTGGCTAGTGCTGACATTGAGACATGTAAGTGACAAATGCTCAGTGAGAATGCATAAAAGATAGTCTGAGGGTGGGGCAAATTGTGACTTATCAATAAACTTTGCAGATCTGCTGGAGAAGTCTAGAGTGACATTCCAGCTTCCCGATGAGAGAGGCTACCACATCTTCTATCAGATGATGACCAACCACAAGCCTGAGCTGATTGGTAAACAAACTGACTTGTTGCTCAATGACAAACCTCTTCACAATTTTCCTATTAAACTCTTGATTCAACATTTTCAATTTTTTTGATTATCAGAGGCGGCTCTCATCACAACCAACCCTTACGACTTCCCCATGTGCAGCATGGGTCAGATCACTGTGGCCAGTATTGATGACAAAGTGGAGCTGGAAGCCACTGATGTGAGTGATTTTCACAATTAAAATATCAATCATGCCGTGTGTCTTACCCCGGTCACCAAAGTGGTGTTTTTATAGGTGTTTTCAAATTAAGGATATTTCATGTGGACACCTCTTTTGCACAGAATGCTATTGACATCCTGGGCTTCACCGCTGAGGAGAAGATCAGCATCTACAAGATGACTGGTGCTGTGCTTCACCACGGTAACATGAAGTTCAAGCAGAAGCAGCGTGAGGAGCAGGCTGAGCCTGATGGCACAGAGGGTGAGCACTTAGTATGATATCAAAGTGAAAAATTCATAAACAACAGTGATTCAATTCTTAATCATGCTGTTTTGTGGCCATCGTGGTGGACAATCACCACATGCTGCATGTATTAACTGTCAAATACTGTTTTCAGATGCTGACAAGGTTGCCTACCTGTTGGGTCTGAACTCTGCTGACATGCTGAAGGCTCTGTGCTATCCCAGAGTGAAGGTCGGAAATGAGTACGTCACCAAGGGACAGACTGTTCCTCAGGTAAA